TAGGTACAACGGTTGGTGCCTCTTTCACAATATCACAAGCAACATATATTGACCCAAGTACTCCAACCCCACCTCCCGACGTTATGGACACATCAGGGATATTGCAAACAACTGGTTCAGTTGCCTCTCCGACATCCTACCTGTCTGCAGAAATATTGGGAGTGAAAACATCATGTCGGGGCTCGTCTCCACTACGATCGTCATGACCAAATCCACCATACTCAGCACCAACATTGTGTTGTCCAATTTCTGTAGCAACTTCATCAAACCTTTGTCGAAGAACATTCATCTCATCAGTGACATGATTTTTCAAACCACACACATGACCTCCCAGATCATTTTGGAGACTAGCGAATCTTGTGTTCATTTCTTCCCTCAAATCCCCCATCTTGCTCTCAAATGCCTCCCGTTGTTCATTCAAGATAACTCTTATATCATCTAAAGACACATGTCTTTCAACGATAGGATCCCCATGCTCTTCTTCTCTACCTTCAACGAGATGCAAACCTCGATAACGAGGTCCACCTTTGTTGCCTCTCTGGGATTTATTTGGTCGATGGTTGTTGTCATCGTTCCGTATGACATCATCTTCAACTGGACAAGCTTGTATTTCTATTGATTGAGCAACAAGACCATCTAAAACGGGGTCGGCTGCGTCTTCCAACGAAACTAGATCGACGAAGTACGGCTACAATTCTTCTGCAGCAATTGCTCGCAGCGTTGCCCACAAGTGCACCTACAGGAGAATAAAAATAGGCGAAATGAAAAAATATATATTGCGGAGTGTAAGGCAATTAAGTATGTAAATCGCCTACATTTGTCTTCTCAAAAAAATCTGAATATGTTCGGGAATGAAGTTGTTTCGTGCTAGACCACCGCAACATCCTCGGGACATCGTCACAAGTCTTACTCGAGAATCGAGCTCCCAACTCTGGAATTGCCTTGTACGCCCAAATCTGCATGACATTTGTAACAGTAATAACCATATTTGAAGATAAATAACAATGAGCAAAGAGAAGAACTGAAATGAACCAAAATAGATATACACCTGGACAGCAAGAGGGAATCCGTACAATGTGTAAGTCATCTTATTACAATCATTCACTTTTATCATGTCCGCCTTTCTTCCCCATCCACGTAGTAGTGATTTGATGAGAAGTTGAAAACATAATGTCCCCCATGGATAGGCATTGAAAAAATTCAAGTCGTCAACGATGGAAAGAGCTGTCGAATTTATTCCTACATTTCGATTTCTTGAATTAAATACCCCTTCAATAATTAGTGCCAACCCCAGCTTGTAACGATCGTTACGGTTGGCACATTTCAAAAAAACTTTCTCGAGGTTACTACACGTTATCCGATCCATATTAGCAAACATTTTATCTTGTAGATGGGTTTTCTGTAGGATTTTGTCAACTTCGACACCTTTAGGCACTGGACTGCACTTCAAGCCAGTAATTAGTGCGAACTCCGGCAGACCAAATCGTGCAAACTTTTGGTTCACTTTGAACCAAGCCTCAAACCGCTTTCGACATACCACCAATCTGTTTACCATTTCATGAATTAATTGAGCAGATAGTTTCAGCTCTGGTAACCTTGCAACATGTCCTATACAACTGTCCTCCAACTAACCCTTTTGCTGTGGATTCAATTTGTTGAGGACAACTGATATATATTTTGTGTTGCTCACTTGCGACACATGGGTCGGAACACGTTCTTGCTCCGGAATTTTATATTGGTGTGTCAAACTCATCTACAAATCAAAACAAATAAAAATAATACTTTAACAAATAGTTTGAGAACGTACAAATGAAGTCAAATATAACATTCTTGTTAAAATGCAGTGAAAGAAAAATGATTTTTACAATACAATGGTTTGATAAAATACCATATCTAAACTAAGTTGTTTAATTGTTGAAATTAAAACGAACCTGGCTTCTAATCTGAAGCTATCATGTAACCATTTTATAGTTGATCACCATTCAAACAGTTCAAAAGTATACACACAATCTTCTACAATTTTATTAAGTTAATTGCCTAATTTAGATATGCAAATAAACCGAAAATGCAATATTCTTTAGCAAAATAAATAACAACAACATAGCCTTGTATTAAATAAATTTAGAGCCAACTACAATAGACCATACGCAAAATCAAGTATATATGTCATAAGATTTGACAAAGTTTTCTATCTGCTATCAACCTATCACATTCTTCCTCCATAAGAAACCATCAATATACAAATGCAACCCTCAACAAGATGTAGAACAAATTTAATGCGAAAATGAAGCTATTTAGTTGCTGATGAGCATTCAAACAGTCTAAGAGTATATAATAGCAGCATAACCTGTGTCATTTCATCATGTTTATTGCCTAACTTAGATGCGAAATATGCCTCAAATGGAGTATTCTTCACTTCGTACTAGTGTTATTTATCATCTAGCAGCATCAAATTTAGTTGACATATAGATTATATCTCAAAGCAAAAGATACAATAACAGGGACAACAGAAAGTACAATCATTTTCCTGATTTCTTTAAACACTTTACCTTTTCAACCTTTTCGACAGTATCTCACATGTACCATTTTTTATTTCAAATTGTATCAACAATTAGTATTTGCTCGCCCAATAAAATCGAGACACTCAGTGACATTGACATCAATTTATGTTAAACTAGCTAAATCTTAGGATTTAGGAAGACAAGAGACTTGGGGAAGTGAAAAAAATAATGAAATAAACTTACTCTATAGCACTGGACTCTAAAGTGTGGTGGGCAAACGGCAACTGGAAAAATAAGAGAGAAATGGACAGGCTCGTTGTCGATGGGTTGGGTCGGAGTGAAGATTGAGAGACTAAGAGTGAGAGTTGAGAGGACTTAGTTTAGGGCTTCTTTTACTTTTTTCATTCCCCCGTCTTCATTTTTTTTTTTTTTTTTTTTTTTTTTGTATTCGGGTCGGGTTCTATCAGGTTTTCCTTTTTTTACCCATAACCCGATCCAACTCGACCCATAACCCATAAATTTGATCGAGAATGTGAAATATTCTAGCTAAAAATGCGGGAGATAAAAAAGATGCAGGGTCGTTTGTCTGCTTGGTCCTTGCTGATTCACACGGGATTCCATGTGTCCCATGCTACTCGGGTCAGAGCGTAAGCTAGTGATGCTTTCGGCTACTGGACTTTCACCATCTAGGGGATAGCGGACCAAAAGCTATGGAACTTGGGTGTGGGTCTTTAGAATGGCGGCAACATGCTTGGTCCCGCTTATGGGGTCAAATCAATACGTTCTAAGAAGAAATATTTGAATATCAATCTCATCGATCTCATACCAAATCCCATCAATCGAATCACTGTTTCGAGAAATACGAAACTACCTGTTATCCAATAAAAACCTAAAATTCCTAATAATAAACCAAAATCCCCTACACGATTAGTTACAAACGCTTTTTGACAAGCATTTGCCGCAAGTTAAACTGGTGCTTGCTGTTGCACCAGGAGCCGTTGCGCGACCCACACCTACCCGACCTAGGCATTTAATGCTGATTGACATTTCTACGTTGATTGACATGAATAATGATATGAAAAATTTTGAATTCTTGTGTGAAAATAATATTTTCTAACAAGGGTATTTTCGTCTACATAATTGGAAAATGGACATTGACAAAATTGTGGACATTTTTGTAAATGAGTGAAATTTCCTCTTCTTTCTTGTTGTTTGTTATTAATTATATCTACTAAAAAGTCCCCTTTTTGACGCACCAACCAAAGACAAAAGTAAAATAATCGAAAATACAAAGTCCAGCTGGCATTAAAGTGTATCTGCTTTGGAGTGTACGCTTTGAATCCTCGTTGCATAGAAGGTGTCAAAGAAATTTCGCAAAGAATGGAGAAAAGCCCAAGGAGATAGATTCCAACTAAAAAGGCAGCATGGCAATCGCGATAATCATGACCTTGATTTATTAGAGTTGTAATGCATTCTGATTCATTAAAAATTGAATCAAGAGGTTCACTATTGATGAATAATCTTACTAGAATAAACTGAGTGATTGATTTTGATAATTTCGAACCTAATGTCATTATCTATTCAATGCACGATACGCGCCTCGAAGTCTTCGTCTACCCCCCAAAACTAGGCCACCAGCTTGATATCTATCCAAATTCTATTGGATAACACAATTGCTTGTCCGTCTTTATTCATTCTTGAAAATGACTTTGCCTATTGACTTTATTATATTCTCTCATCATTCAATCCTAATCTTAAGCTTGTCAAAATTAAACTTTAAGGTGTGTGATTCCATGAAAAATATTATTTTCCTATTCAAATTCTTATTTTTGGAGTGTTTGATTGATATTTTTTTCATGGAAAATATTTTTCAAGAGTTGTCACATAACCATATTTTTTTCAAAAATAAAGAAATATTTTTCTTTAGGGAAGCGTGTGTTTTTATTTTCCAATATTTCACTCTTTCTCTCTCTAATTTATCCCCTTTCTTTCTTATTTACCGATCAATAAAAGATAGACAAGTATAACATTTTATAAGTTAATAATTAAACCAATTAAATACATTTAATTAATATTTTTCATGCAAATAAATTGTAAACAATTCAATTGCTTAAAACTAATTTTCTTTCCGTGAAATTTTCATGCTTGTAATTTTATTTATTAAAGTCTTTATTTCAACTCTTTTTCAATCAAATATAATAACAATACACAAATAAATTTCGAAACTTTTGAATCAGATAATTCAAGTCTTTCGTCATCCGTTAAATAAGCAATATATCTTTTTTTAAGAGTGTAAACTTTTAAATGATTAAACATTAAATCTTCGATTTGACGTACTAAAAAGTTTAACCAATCAATTTGGTATTCATTTTCTACTCAATAGAAACAAAGTTTGCATCCTAATAACGGTTGAGTAACGTAGATGTCCTCATAAGTAAAATTTAAATGATATTATTATTATTATTATTATTATTATTATTATTATACAAATGGAAAATGCAACAAGTTGTACTGCTTCCCTATATAAATGAGTCCAATTCTCGACCTAAACAGCTCTCTCTCTCTCTCTCGATCTACCTTTGTTGACCAACTGTAAGTCCCTCCCTCTCTCGAAATGCTTGAATGTGTCTATTATTTGTCTGTTACTCTGGATTCAATTTTAATGGTTTTGCTGTAGATTATGTTGTGACTCCATTAAAATTAAATTATGGGGTTGAAAGTAAAATTAATAGGATATACACCTTCTTTAATCATCGATGTATTTGCTATCTTATGTTAACCATTATGTTACTTTTCACTATGCTTTATTAAAATTTAAGATATATCTTAAAAGATAAATCTTATTAAAAGTAGTTGTTCAAATCCAAACACTTGTGTTGATTTTTAAAGGGGGGGTCGAACCACTCGTCTAAGCTCATTGAACAAAGACTTCTGGTTAGGTCAAAGTTGTTAATATGAGTAACTAAACTCTTGCATATTGATTAGTAGTCGTATAATTAGTTTATGTGAGTTTTTACGGTTAATTTGATATATTTCAATTCTTGCCCAATAAATTAATGTGTTAAATGCGTTAGAACATCTCTAAAAATCTCTCCATTTTTGAAGTGCATATTTCATTATTTGGAGAACGTCTGAATTTGGAGGGTTAAGATTTTGAAGTGTTTCAACACTTTATATTTAACACTTGATTTTACTACTCCCAAAAAATAATTATTAGTTCTTTCTCTTTTATTTTAATTAACTTTTCTCAAGATCATTTTATGATTTTTCTACATTGAAAATTAAAACATTTTAAATGCATTTAATTATAAAGAATTACTCTCCAAATTTGGAAACCCGAACTCACTTTTTAAATTAAAATGTTAATTTAAAAAGTCTCTTAGAGCATGCTTTTAAGAATTGATTATTTAAAATAAAGAACATATCTCATGTTTAAAGCATATTTTGGAAATGCTCTCAGGCGAAACTAACTTGAAGGTATAACTAGAGACTGGTTTAAATTTGTATATCAAATAACCATGTACTCTTTGAACCTGAGCTTCACGCTTTTCTTTTGTTTGATATTTATCTCTAACATTACAATATAGCTATTTGAATTTTCATTGAAAACATATCATTGACAAATTATTTTACGATGTAGTTCAGATATAGAAAAAATATTCTGTCACCCGTAATATCTTATATCAATTTTGCTGCAATTTGAGTAGGAAATGGGAAATCTATTGTGTTGTGTACAAGTAGATCAATCTAAGGTTGCTATCAAGGAGCGGTTTGGCAAATTTGATGAAGTCCTTGAGCCAGGGTGCCATTGCATGCCTTGGTTTCTTGGAAGCCAAGTAGCCGGTTATCTCTCCCTCCGTCTACAGCAGTTGGATGTACGCTGTGAAACTAAGACAAAGGTTACATTTCTTTCAGCAAAATGATATCCTTAACGCTGAACTATATGGTATCTTAAACTTTTAGCTGAGATGATTTAGCAATAATTCAGTTAAATTAAAAAGCTCCTAATTATTGGCTATCAGGACAATGTATTCGTCAATGTAGTGGCATCAATACAGTACCGCGCCCTTGCAGACAAGGCAAGTGATGCTTTCTACAAACTGAGCAACACAAGAAGTCAAATTCAGGCCTACGTATTTGATGGTACAGTCCTAAACTTACACCTGATAGTATGATACAGTGTGAATCTCTATGTCAATAAGGTACATTACAGTTTGACCTGGAATGTGTTCTTTGTGTTTGTGTCCAATTTTCCAGTAATTAGAGCAAGTGTTCCAAAACTCAACCTTGATGATGCTTTTGAGCAGAAAAATGATATAGCAAAGGCTGTTGAAGATGAACTTGAGAAGGTGAAGTTATTTATTTCATCATACATATAGGAACCAAATTCATTGGTGTTGTTTTGATGATGTTAATTCTATGGTTGACTGCAGGCAATGTCTGCTTATGGGTATGAAATTGTTCAGACGCTGATTGTTGACATAGAACCAGACGAGCATGTTAAGAGAGCAATGAATGAAATAAACGCTGCTGCAAGGCTAAGATTAGCTGCTAATGAGAAGGCAGAGGCTGAAAAGATCTTGCAAATTAAGAGAGCCGAAGGAGAAGCTGAGGCTAAATATCTATCTGGATTGGGTATTGCTCGCCAGCGTCAAGCAATTGTGGATGGTTTAAGAGATAGTGTACTAGGTTTCTCAGTTAATGTTCCTGGAACCACTGCAAAGGATGTTATGGATATGGTCCTTGTCACTCAATACTTTGACACGATGAAAGAAATTGGAGCTACCTCCAAATCATCTGCTGTGTTCATCCCTCATGGACCAGGTGCAGTTCGTGATGTGGCAACACAAATTCGTGATGGACTTCTTCAGGCTTCTCAAGCATGACCTCAATTTCTACAGCTGTCATCTAAAAATTTATCACTTATTTCCTGCTGCCTGTGTGATTTTGAATTTTTCCTTTTCCTTTTTTTTTTTTTTTTCCCTTCCCAATAATGAATTTCTAAGTGCTATAGTTTTTACCCTGTTTGTCAATAAGTTACTGAAGAAGTCTTGGATAGTAAGATCCGTATGTTCTACACTTCATAGGGCTACTTTATTTGTTTGCCATATCTTCGCTAGGTGTTTATGGAATTATTATAGCAGGTCGGTCTAGTAATTAGGGGGTGGCCGTTCGGTCCATCCAAAACCACTACGTTTTCTAAAGCAAATTTTTTTAAAGATCGGACCTGCTAAGTCTGCCAGGACCCAAAACCTTTTTCGTTTTGTTTAATAAGTTGGATGTAAAAAGACTTCAGTACTAAGAGAATTACTAAAAATTTTCTCTACTTTGTTGTTCATTCTGTGCTTCCAGGAATCAAACATACCCAATAACCATTCTTAGATGTTCGATATATAGAAAAGTCCGCCCCCTTTCTGTCATCAGCTCAGCCATTATCTTGTTTATAGATACGCACCCTCTCCATTTTAACAATACGTCCTTGGTTAGAAGACATGACATAAGGTCCTTACATTCCTCATCTATATTCTTTTCCTCTTGCAATTGTTCACTCCTGTAATAGTTTGAGATATGCATTAGTTTGGACTGAGATAAGTACCATTTGTGTGAAATTGGCATTTGTTGTATATGCCTCATGGTTTAAATGTTGTTGGAGTTAAAACTGTCTTCTTTGTCTGTTTGCTTGTATAATCACTTAGTAGGTTTATGTGTATTATGAGTGTTGGTTGAAAGATGATTTTTATGGATGTTGAATTGTAACACGACTTCATTTATATTAGTTTTACACCCCGTTAATCAGCCCTCAGAAAGCATATAAAACTAGCAAAAACCTAGTCTTAGCTCCATTGATAAAAAAGCCTTACTATTTTCCACTTGAGATGTTTACATCTAAACCAAACCTATGTTTGGCTCATGTTTATAATCACTCAAGCCAGGTTTATCCACACATTTTGAGCGACCCATAAATAGTACCATTTATCTACCACTCATTACTTCGTATTTATAATTTAAACCGTTTATAATCGCTTTCCAAACATGCTCTCTAAGTGTTTGCCATGACAGCCATAAAAATGCTAAGTGATTGTTTAATGAAGAACATACTACAATTTTGGATAAAAAGGAAAAGGATAAGAAATTACACTTGGAGCTTCATCATACATCAAAATCCTTTAGCGAGGGCAAAAACTCGTCCTGCCAAAGGTGGAGCCAATGCAGAAACAGCATCTTCAATGACCTGACAATAAAATACAAGGATTCACTATGTCCTCATTGACTATCTACAGTAAACAGTCTGGTTCCTCAGTGCAATATAATGACATTTAATCTTGAGACTGTCACGAGTATGCCACAGAAGCTAAAGCTGTCTTTCAAATATATCATGCTAACTTATGGAACCCTTTCCAAAGAAATGATAATGACAATGATAACACTAACAAGGACAAGAAATATTGATCTGTTAATAACACAATGTGCAGCTTAGTTTTCACACCAATATCAAAATTATACCCTTTAAAATGAAAGACAATATTTAAATGACTATACATTACTCAGATCCTGTACGGAGAAAGATGGTAATGAAATAAACTCACTTATGCATGGTCTATGTATCTCCCCTATTTTAAAGAATAGCTCCTTTGGTTTACATGCATACAAATTAAATATGTGGGCTTTGAGTTGGACAAAACAACTTACATCTAACTGATAACGAGCTGAAAAGTGAATTAGAAGAATTGCTTTATTCTCAAACCTGTCAGCATAACTGATAATCTGGTGGCATATTAGTCCGAGTATAATAAAAAACTGTAATCAGTAATCGGCAAAAGTAAATAACAGAGTTGATAGGAGGTAGAACATCAACCTCTGACAAATGAGTGTGTCCATATTCTCTTGCATCGGCCACTGTTGTTAAATTCTCAACATAGGTGCTCTAAATTAGAAAATCAGAAACAAAGATTAAATGTGTCAGAAATTTACCTTGGTAGCTATAATAGCATGCATACATACTTTTAGCTCTAATATCAGTAGCAGCATCTCCACTTTATGATGGCTATCTTGGATCAACTTAAAATTTGTTAAAAATACAAGTCACTTCATTCCTGAATTTGAAAGCATTTGTATTTTTTCTAAAAAATCTGTAACATCTAGTGTACGTGTTTTTTATGTCCGAAACATATGACTGAACATAATCATACATAACAGCAACATTGACATGATACTCCGATTCCTAATAACCAAATTTCTACACTTTTGATCCAACTCAATTTCACCCAGCTAGGTTCTTTCAACTGATTTCAATCTGTTACTCCTGTTTCTAGAAGATATTTGAATTGAATTTATAGAAGTTAAGAGATTTAAGTACATGTAATGCGAAACGTAAAATGATATATCTAGTCATTTTTCCAATGTTGTCACTTAGTCATCGCTTTCACTCATATCCCAATTGTGGATATACAATCAATACGTTTAGCATCCCATTTCTAACAGTTGCAGGGCTTACAATTATGCGCTTCAGTTGATTTCACACTTTCAATTGGTAATTATCATAGCAATTAAAACAGAAGTGACCCACTTAGTAGAAGCTAGACAAAGTCATACAAATAGAGGCAGTTAATAAACTAGAGTAATGAGTACTGTGCCCTTTGAGTGAAACCTTTCCATGTCTCATATATAAGGGATAGCAACGGTATTTACCTCCATAATGAGGATCTTTGACCTTAAGACATCAATGTTGTCGGGATCAGTAATAAAGTCGGACATAGTGTCTCCCGTGAAAGCAATTTCAGGTGATGTAGTTGTGTAGGTGATCTGATAAAGGAGCAAAGTTAACCATGTCAAATATAAGTCACTCAAAATTTCATCAAAAAGATTCTGACAACTTAATAGAACGGAAAATGTAGTAACCACAAGTATTTTCAAGAAATAATCCAGAAGACGATATTTATATATATATATTAAATAATCAGTTATTCTTCTTGCTTTCTCACTGATATACACCAGTTTCCATTTTTGGTATCTTGGAAAGAGAGGAGAGCAAGAATAGCATAAAGAAGATTAAACATTTGATTAGTAATAAATTAATGGTAATATAGAGAATGGAAAATGAGCTAACCACATGAATTTTCAGTATATTCCAGAGGAAGAGAGCAAGAAATATAAATTAAATACTTGTTATATATATATATTAAATAATCAGTTATTCTTCTTGCTTTCTCACTGATATACACCAGTTTCCATTTTTGGTATCTTGGAAAGAGAGGAGAGCAAGAATAGCATAAAGAAGATTAAACATTTGATTAGTAATAAATTAATGGTAATATAGAGAATGGAAAATGAGCTAACCACATGAATTTTCAGTATATTCCAGAGGAAGAGAGCAAGAAATATAAATTAAATACTTGTTTGTACTTCTCATATTCTAACTGCTGGAGAAATATACAAGTTTCAGTTTCTGATATCTTGAAGAAAGGGATGAGAATGGATATAAAGCGCATTAATCATTTGATCGTAGATGGTAGAGATTATTTCAATAGTGGTGAAAAGGAACTCATTTAGCCAACAACAAATTTATTGGGAATCAGACTTGTCAATGTTGAGGAAGTGAAAGTTTAGGAAGGTAACATTACATATCTTGAAGTAAGAAAATCTATCCCCAGATTGGGAAAAAAAATTCAATAAAAAAATGGTCTAGAAACCACGAATCCGTACAATCAAGTAAATGTCATCTTCCAAACCAAATTTGTCTCTAGTGAAAATTCCTTGTACACATTCAAATTGTACAATCAAAATGTAAGCCTTTATACTTGTGTTAATACATGAATATTGTGTAGTAAGGATTCCCAAGCTCTGTATTAGTAATACTTGAATATTGTCAAGTAAAAATTGCAAAGACAATATTGCGAGAAAAATAAAATCAAAGCAACAATTAGATACATGGAATCGCTCTATTAAAGTCACAAGGCAAGATCTTTCTATATCCAGCATTTAGATATCTTATATCCCAAACAAAAAAGATAAAACCCCATTAAAATCATATTTTTAGTAGATTTTTATAAAAGTTGATGAAATTTGTGATTAAAATTAATTGATGACTTTGACTTGGATTAAATCTAGATTTTAATTTTCACCAAACAGAGGCAAAATATGGCACACACAAATTTTTTTCCTTGTTATGGATTTAAATAAAAACATACAATCAGAATATTAAATTTTAGCATATGATGCACATGATTTTATTTCGATTTTTCAGTACAAATTCATAAGATTCCACTATAAGCAATTATCAAAATGTACCTCCACGCCTGATAGCTTCAATTTTTTAATTTCCTCTCCTGATAGTCCAATATATTCCTGCTTAAGTTTCTGTTTCACAGAATAAACTATATAACCCTGTCACCAATCAAGTCAATCCTCAATTAGCTCTTCATTTAATTTAATTAATTATAAAATGAAAAAGGAACAGGAAGGGAGCTCAACAATAACCTGGCTAGGAATGGCATGGTAAGTCCTAAAAGCTCTCACTTTAAGGTCTTTTCTTAAGTTATATTCTTCACCTACAAATCACAATCCAGCGAGTTTTGTGAAGATATTTTGAGAAGTTCACAAAATACGAGATAAGGAGTTTGGCATTACCCACATCCAAACCAATAAGAGTATGCTTAAGCTCGGAGTGGTCCATTGCCCTGTGAGCTTCAAATATCTTTTCCACACTTTCTTTTATGACTTTTGGCACAATAATTGTTGGGGGTGCCATTCGGTATAAGCCACGGGTCGCAACATACATGGGCAGTCCTCCCTATGAAATAGCAGCACCCTCTCGTAAATAAGAAATTGGTAAATATCTCATGTAGTAGAAATGAAAACCAGATGTTTGCAAGAACACAAACATAATACCTACAGATAGCCAAAACTAGATAACATTGTAAGTTGTATCAGTCTTTACACCTTGAAACTGAATGGGGAACCATGGGATGCGAGCTATGGTTAATTTTATATTTTGTACCTTGCTCTATGTCCGACACCCAGGTTTAGTCTGAATACCTGGGCAAGCTATTGTTTAGGCATGACCTTACCTATGTTCCGTCTAGATGTTCAAGCCCAGTTTTTTGCATCAGGGGATATTCTTCAAAAAATGAAATACATACACTGGCAACCATACATTAGATACAATATACGAAGCAAAAATTCGAAAAGATGTGGAATATAGAGTAGCAAACAGAAAATACAAATGAAGTGTTGCTCATATTAATAATACTCATTTTTTATTCTTGATCAAAACTGTAGGAATTTTTTATATGTACATTCAATTGAACTTCTATTTTAATAATGTTGAGGTTCCAGTCACTGTCTCGTGGTAGCCAACTAAAGAACCAACCAAGGTACACACTCTACGTCACTATCCTACCGGTCTAGCCAAGGCCATCAAACACAGGTAGTAGAAATAATGCATCACCTCTGCCCAGGTGCCATGTGAAGGTTGACCCTCCATGATCGAGACAAGGTGTCATGGCTGGCTATAGAGTAATTTCAAAGCGACTAGCGGGCTTCGCATCTTTTCAAGGGATCTTCTGTAAAAGATTTTCTAAGTAATTGATTCATATGACCTCTCTGCAGTAGAAGCCTCTCATTCAACTTATTAATCTACTTTTCAGATATTAGGCTTAGACTATAGGATGACTACTTTTTTATATCCCTAAACCTAGGATTGCAGAAGTAATACCTAAGAGGAGATGCCTTAACCTTTAAGATAAAGTCACGTGTCACTTCATCCGTCAGTAAACGCTTTAACACTTTTACTATAAAAACACACTTAGCCTATGTATGGCCTCCATTTTTCCATAGCTCAATTTCAATCGCACATTCTCCCATAAAATAATTTTACGTGTAAATCTACAACTTTTTTTTAATTTTTAACCACACATTTTCCAATCAAACACTATTCAAAAATACATTTTGGCCCACGAATGGGGCTCAATGTCATTTAAAAGATAATGCAATTTTACACTCTCAATAATATTATTTCTCACTCTTATTTTCTCTCTACAGCCCAATGCACATGCACATGCTTGTGGCTCATGTCTCCTGTTCATTCCACCCCAATATATAAAAATTGTCAAGACTTGATTGTCAGAGTGCTCGTAATTGCCTACTCCACCTCGGAGAAGGCCACGTGCTTCTAACTGTTTGTCAAAGTGTGCAAAACCTTACGCGTTGATGTGAGTGGAGCATGATTAGATGGCCGCGTCACCAAACGGAGGTCAACAAATAATATCTACATTTGGTTGCATTGAACTGTGTCATCGAAATTTTTGAAATTCTGAAAGAAATGTTTACTAATTCAAATCACATGCCTCAGAACACATATTTAGCAAATTCTGGTACTGCAGTGAATCGACTTACTTACACAAATATGGAAACGGAATTCCAACAATAAAAAATAAATAAATAAATCAGATTCAAAATTTTCGATGGTTTATAAAATATGGAGGAGGGAAAGCAATTACTATATGGTCCATGTGGCCATGGGAGATGAAGAGAAACTGCTGGGAGATAGCGCGTTGAGGACACTTGCCGATGTCAAATGCTAAGTTGAGCGTGGGGAGTATTATGCACGTCTCGTGACCCGCTATTGATATCCCATCTATAGGGTATCCCAATAAATTCAACTCTCCTTCCTTGGTCTTCTTCTTTTTGGAATTCTGGTTTTTCTGCTCAGCTTTATTTTGGGAATTGGGAGTTTCATTCGTGTTAATCGACTCCATTTTCAACTGGCGATTCTCAAAGCAAACGGCAAACTTCTTTCGGATTCTCTATAGGGTATCCCAATAAATTCAACTCTCCTTCCTTGGTCTTCTTCTTTTTGGAATTCTGGTTTTTCTGCTCAGCTTTATTTTGGGAATTGGGAGTTGAATATATTAGAACAATACGATACTAGAAACAAACAACATTCACTAACATCCAATAACAACGGAATTAGAAGTCTAATTTTCACAGTTTACCGTGGACATCACAACAAAATTACAATATAATTTCTATCATTCACTATCCATATCACAATAAAACCACAAAATAAAATTCATCGTTCGCTACCCCACTTATATTCAGTATCAATTTCTTCATTTTGGTTGAACCGTGGTGTTCAAATGGACCGTCGATTTCTCTCTCAATTGGCTTCTCAAACAAATGGCGCCTTAAGTGAGTGTTTGAATTTGAAGAGAATGCATTACACCTCTTGAGGTTTTATTGACTTTGGCACTTTTTACAGTATTAAAACCTAAACTAATGGGCATACATTGCAGGAGGTCTTCCACAATGTTTGTATTATTTAGGAATGTTTTGCACCGAAATGAAGAGTTAAGAGGGATATTCCACAAATCAGACGAACATTATTGTCTCAATCATCCCTAAAAATTAAATAACTTGTAATGATTTCATACATTTCTATTTCTACGGGCTAATGTTAAATTAAAAAAATTACGAAATAGTCCAAAAATTACACACTAATGAAGGCGTTAATGGAAAAGTTAGAAACTCATATTAAGTTGAGATCGAGTTTTTATGACAATTATAGGTCAAGAATTACATTAAGGGCATCTTTAATAGTGATTTTGAAAATTGATTTTTTGACCGTTAGGGGAAAAATGGAGGCTATATGTGAAAGAAAAAAAGTCAAAAATTACGACTGAAATAGTAAAATAACGGTCAAAAAATCAATTTTTTAGATGAAAAATCACTCCCAAACGAAGCTTAAATTTGAGAAAAAAATTAGAACCATTAATTCTCGATAAGAGAAGCTTCAACCCTATATGAAGGCCGTGAGTAGTAGTAAAGTGCTGATTTGATTTTGATTGAATGCTGGTCGAGATATGAGCGAAGAGAACATTCGAGTAAACGAGAGTTGAACCTATAAATTTTGCAATATGTTAAACCTAGCCAATTATAACAAGTAGCTTTATGCTGATAATCATCCATGCCTTAAAAGATTCAAGCAATACTTTTAGCCCATGAAATATAGAGACGTAAACATACATTAAACTTGAAGGTATGAAAAGAAGAAATTTTGATGACTTTGTTCCAAAATTGGCTCAAGGACCAGTAACTAAGAAAGATGCATATGGCGTAGCAATCCTGAGAAATTTTCAGGAAAAATATTGTTACAAACATTCTAGCAATCTTGACGTTCATCCACTGATTCAAGCACCCCCAATCGCCAGCTGAAAGTTGATATATTCCCTGATAACTCCTTTGGATCATTCATCTTCAAGAATCCGAAACATTCTGAAGCATCACTGCTGCTGGCCTGCAAAATGTGGTTCATTCATATAAGCCATATACATTAAGGACTTCTATTTCATCAAAAAGAACTTCCTACATTGTAGACAATTTGTTTATCAATAATGAGTACAAACGACTTCTTAATAGTGAAAACCCATCCTGATCAACAGAAGGCCTTTTTTATTACTGTCTACACTAAGAGCAGAAATTTCTGAAGGTATCTCCGTATTACAAGGTCCATCAAACTAAACCCATAATTACTCTCGTCCATGAAGAGCTAGCTGGTCTTCCTAGCATCTTTTGAGAAGGCCCATTTAGAGGAGAGAACATGGACATCATGATATGAACAATTGAACGCAATATTCCATACACTACCCATGGTTTTGTAAGGTTCGACAAAATCCTGAACAAACCAGGTTTTTACAGGTTCCTCAAGCGAAAAGGACAAGAAATAGAAAGCAAACCAGTAAAACATTTCACAAGCTGCAACTTAAATCCATCTTCGCTTCCAATCTTCGACCAATGTCCACAAGTCTATTCTTACTCGTAAAAAATAACAAGAAGCAAAACATACATAATTTGGGAGCCAAAAAAAAAGGAAAATGGTTGAGGAGAACTTTTTAGACTTGGATTAAACTTATTTTGATTGGGAAAAAATAAATAAAAATTTGGATGTCATGGACGAGGTATTATATTTCACATCTTCCAAAGCTAGGCTACTGAAAAAAAAAAAAAAAAAAAAAAATCCTTTTCCATATGACAAATGTCAAATTGATACAACTTCTCAACATCCCAGAGCAGATAAATCGTAGGAATTGCAAAGTACTAAAAAAATCTTATTATAAAAAATGAAGACATAGCAAACAGGCACATTTCTCTTCTCCAACAACATAAGCAATCAGTAACTAAGACCCAATTAGCTAAAGTACGTCCAATAACTGAGCTCCCAAATATGGTAAGCCAGTGGCATTCTTCCAACTTGAGATTTCATCCAATATTCCATTTTTCCTTTTTCTTTCGTTCGCATTTTATTTTATTTTTTGGTGAGCCAACATAATCTCAGCTTTATGCCACCATTTTAAAACTCCGGGCTCAATCTCCTTCCTACGGCATAGCAACAGAAGATAAAACAAACTCTAAAAGCCGATGAGACATCCCGCGATTCAAAGTACAATGAATCGTTCACCAATTACTTCATCGTTCTTTAATTTTCTGGCAATTCAAAGTTGTGGCAAAAGCTACACGATTTCTTTAGATCCAACACTCCTAATAATTGAGTCCATCCAATCTCTTCTCGAAACCCATAATTCTTAATCACACAACATCCCAATAGAGAAAACCCTACAATTCATGAGGATTGCTTACAGCATTCGAGTGTAGCACAAAAGTCTTCTTTCTCTAGTTTTCTAGCCATTTGAATTGATGCAAAAACAACACAATTTCTTTGGATCAATGTTGCTAATCTTCAAGCTCATCCAATCTCTTCTCAAAACCCATAATTCTCACACTCAACGTTCCAACAGAAAAAAACCTACATTTAATGATAATTGCTTGCAGCAGCCAGGTAGAGCACAAAAGTTATCTTTTTCATCACTTTATTGCTCCAACTTCCACTCATTCGTGTTCATCTTATTCATTATAATCCCAAAATTCCCACATCGTTTCAGCCTCCAAAACTGATTAAATCAGCCCCTCAAATTTCAATTTTAATCAGTCCAGATTGACATTGCCATTAACTTTGCAATACTGTGAACTCACAGTCATATTTGTCCTAAATCATGTTTTTATTCAGCTTTTACAAATACTGTACACTTGCTTTTCTTTGCTCTTCTTTGGGCAACTACCAGGAGTGAAAATATTAGCTTTTGTAAGGCTGCTTATCCAGTCCCTCAATGTCAAAAAATGAGGCGTTCCAAAATTAGGCATCAGTCACTTCAGCTGGCATTGCACCAACTCAATAAAATTTCAGCCCAACTAATTTTTAGGCTATACAACTGACATTGGGGCTAAGCATAAAGGCATTATTTTTTCCATTTTCACTTGATTTTTTATGTCAGTTTTGGTTTACTTATTCTAATCACTAATCAGCATATATAGATAAAATAAAATTTCCAACTGTTCCAATAATGCGTTCGGTAAATACTCGGATGGAATATAACTTCTATAAGCTTTAAACGAAACATGGCACTAGTGTAAAATGCTAAAGGGACATAAAAATGGTCATTCAGATAATATGCAAACAGGCAAAGCAATTAAGAGTCGAATAAGTTATTCATAATGATCACCTAGAAAGCAGTCGGTTCTGTCTGTATTCAGACAGTACACTTGAGAAGAATTTGGTTCGCATTTTTAGATCTAGAAATTTACTCATCTTTCTTAAAAGAACTGAAAATATCCAATGTTCAGTTTAGTAAGCACAATCGAGAACCTGAGATTTCAAGTGCTTTGTCAGTCGTTAAACGGGAGATTAGGGCCTCTACTTTTGATTAGATTAATAAAGAGTAATCACTCTATCAGCTACTGGCATACTCCTCCAAATCTCACTCAAAAGCTGCAGAAATAAAATCCTGTTCTAACAAATGTAGAAAGATTGTCCACCCGAAGTTGGCAATAAATAATTGGAGAAAAATAATCAATTCAAAGATCTAAGATTCTGAACTTGCTACAACATATAGTGAAGAAGGCACCCTAGAGCATATTTCAGTTATATAATAAAATTTTACAAAACATGGTCATGAAATTTCCGGTTATAGATAATATATATCATCAAAGTGCATTTGGCTCATATCATCAACAACAACAACAACATCAACAACAACAACAAAAATAAATAAAAAATAAAAAAAGCACCATGTACAATCTTAAAACCAAAGAAGAAATTATGCCTTAAAACACTAGGTAAATTTCACTTACATACCCTGGTGTTCGCCTCTCAATCTTTCGGTCAAATTTGTCAAAGTACCACAGAGTCGTGCTTCAGCAACTAATGAACTAACCACTTCCTCTAAAGATCTCAACTCATCATGAAACTCTGAATGCAAAACCAAAGAAGAGAAATGCTTGTCTACAACCAATCCAAGACATTTCACAACGCTTTCAAAAGTTGGAACCCATTCGCACGCCTTCAACCCCAACATGGATGATGCTTTAGGACAAGGAGCCACTTGAGGGAATTTCTCATATTTCCTCAGCCACTTCCCTAAATAATTAATCAAAGCCATCATCTCCTCACCATTCAACTTACTAACACAAGCTGAAAAGATCACCTCATCGAGATCTAGTGATGCAAGCAAATAATGCAAGCACAATTCCGACACTGTGAATTCATCATGCGCCACCATGAGCAAAAACGACGCTTCCCTCGCCAAGCTGTTTTGTTTCCCACCAAGTCCCCTATCACCCACCTTCTCGATGGCTAACAATGCTTGGTTCTCCCACTCCTTCCTCACGCTAACTAGACTCTCATATCCATCCCGAGGCGGTAATAGAAAATACTTCAAAATGCACATCAAATCATATGTCTGGAGATCAGATAAATGCTTCACACACAAAACAACTAAATCCGACCTCCGTTTTTCTATCAAATTGTGAACCAAATTGGATATACACAAATGTTCAACATTCCCATTAATTATCAAACTCTTCAAAGTATCCCAAACCTCCAAAGTAACACAAGCCTCTAAAATTAAGCTCTTCACATCCCTGCCCATGAAAAACCCTAACCTGTCAACCAACTTGAGAGGATACCCTTCGTCTGACTTATCAACACCTACGGAAATTCCAACTTTCTCCCCAACTTTCTCCAAGTAAGAAGTAAACATACCCAAGAATTCGTCTTTACTAAACGTGTTGGTGTTTTTCAACTTTCTTTTCAACTTCTTGAAAAATCTTTGCCCTGTTTCGATCATTTCAGCATCCGTTTGCGATATTTCCCATCCTGTAACCCGTTTAATTGGGTTTTCCTCTTTCAGTTCATCGGTTTCAGGCTTTAGTTTGAGGAGAATAGGGTCCGGATTGAACACAATCGGGTAGTTGGAATCTGGGTCCGGGTGGGTTGGGGCAGTTGATGAAGCTTTAATAATTACTTCCAGCAAAGACATTATGGTGGCTGTGGAGCCTCTACGTCGGAAGCGTAAGCGGCGCAGGAAAGACGAGGTGAAGTCCAAAGGATGGAGCTGGTGAGTTCAATTTGGCGCCTGCCTGAGTCGCTCGTAATTAGGTGTTTTATGTGAATTGGGCCAAGCCAACATATTTTCGGGCCCATAAATAGTTGATGGTTTTAGCATTCTTTTCTCAACTTTCTAAATTAATAACCGTTCTTCTTTTGAGTTTTATCGGTGAAAGATGTTACTTTCTTAAAGTAAGCCCATGGTACAAATTAAAAATTTTAATTTTAATTTTAATTTAAGTTAAAGTTAGCAATTTATTTTATGAATTTCACAACTTTTCAACCACGTATTTTATTAACTTCTATCAAAATCTAATTTTAATCTCAACCAAATAGGAATTGAATTATTACTTTTTCTTTTTTTTCTTTTTCTTTTTTGAAGCCACACCACTCCCAGTATGATTATTTGATTTTTAATAATACTGAGGAATGTTATGCAGTTTTGAGCATACGCAACATCGCCAACACTCCATCGGTTGGATGCATTCTCTTTTAGTTGAAATTAGAGATTAACATGTCAAAAATATTTTATATAGGTGAGCACCTGTCCACTTTACGAGTTTAGTAGAATTTTTGTCACAATTAAGGTATAAAGAAAACCAAATCTAAGACTATATCTAAGACTATCTTATATAAAATTTAGAGAAGATTTCATCTAGAAAGCAATAACAAGTAGGATTGAAGCATCATGGACGGGTGGTTGCGATGGCCACAATGTCATCTTTAGGAGCTTGTTTGAGAGTGATTTTGAGAATTGATTTTTTGACCGTTAGAAGAAAAGTGGGGCCCACCTGTGATAGAAGAAGTTAAATATGACGGCTAGAATAGTGAAATAACGGTCAAAAAATCAATTTTTTTGGTAAAAAAATCAGACCCAAACAGGCCCTAGATCTAAGCAATACATGCTTACAGTAGTCCCAAAATCATTACTATACGATAGCCATCAGGTCAACCTACGACATCTTTGATTGATGGAAATCAATGGACACACATCAAGCTAGCGGCAAAAAATAATAATAATAATTAAAAAAAGATGAGAAATGAAATATTGGATAAGGAAAGAAAAAAATGAAGACCCAAACAGGCCCTAGATCTAAGCAATACATGCTTACAGTAGTCCCAAAATCATTACTATACGATAGCCATCAGGTCAACCTACGACATCTTTGATTGATGGAAATCAATGGACACACATCAAGCTAGCGGCAAAAAATAATAATAATAATTAAAAAAAGATGAGAAATGAAATATTGGATAAGGAAAGAAAAAAATGAAGCTACCTCGCATAGCTACCACGGAGAAAGTAAAAAGTATGGAAATTTAAAAACTAATAGAAACTTTAAGTATTGAAGGAAATTGAGTTTGTCGGTTGTCAATTTATTATACCTGATTGTATGAAGAAAATAATCGTCAGAATTTTTTCAAATTATTTTTGTCTTTTATTTATCACTTATTCGATTTTTTATTTATTTAAAATAATGTAAATTTTTCTTCATAACAAAATTTTGAATTCTTAGGTCGTGATTAAGAACGAGTACACTGATCAGTAAAAGGTTGAGGTTCAATTTGTGAAAAATTAAAGGTTAGGGACAAAGTTGAAACATGAGAATAGTTGAGGATGATGTACGTAATTTACCCTTCCATTTATAACGCATTCCATCAGGTACGTATCCAAGTGGATTACCAAAAAGACAGTGGAGACTGCCAATGACGTGACAGACGCCAACCCAATCTATACATACACTATACGTACATAAATCCAACAATATACAACAATTCCTCCAATTCACGAGCTCCACACCCTCAACCTAGCTAAAGCCCTTCTCTTTCAGCCTCCTCAAAGGTAACGTAAATATCCATGTAAACCTGCATATATGTATGTATGTTTTGCTCAATTAGAATGATTTAGAGTAGATCTCGATTGGGGAAAGAGTTACCCTGAATCTTGATTCTTACAGACGAACCCTTTAATTACTGTTGCCTTTTTTTTATTTTTTGTTTATTATTATTATTATTATTTTTGGGTTTATCTAGTTGATGATAAATATTCTGTCCCTTCTGAGCATTTATGAAAAGCAAGAGTCATAAATTGCTAAATTCAGCTGAATTGTAGGATTATTAGATGATGTTTTTATTTAGATTGTTTTAACTGTCCATATTCTGAAAATGGGTAACCCTAATTTTTGGTTTTTAAATAACTTTTTTTCTCCGTTTGGGAAAATTCAGTTTAGATTGGTTTTTCTGTCACTGTCAATTATTGTGTTGTGTATCTGAGCGGCATGATTGCATATCGAACTTATTTAGATTGCTGATAAAAGGTTGTTGGAATGAATTTATGATGTTTCTCTCCCTTGCTGTTTTTAAATTAAATACTTATGATTATTTTTGCTGCTGTGGTTAATGGGTCTGATATTTGGATAAGTAGGATGTCGACTCCATCTAGGAAGAGACTTATGAGGGATTTCAAGAGGTTGCAGCAGGATCCTCCTGCAGGTATTAGCGGTGCCCCTCAAGACAACAATATTATGTTTTGGAATGCTGTTATATTTGGGTGAGCTTGAAAATTCCATGTTCATTAATGTCAAATTGCCTGTTCGTAATTCATTGTTTTTATATGTTCACTTATTTTTCTATATTCTTTGTATTTTCATTTCTTAAATATCTCTGCATAACCTATTATGTGGTTTCTTTTGTGGTGTGCATTTGCAGTCCTGATGATACACCTTGGGATGGAGGTGAGTCCTTCTCCTTCTAGGACTATGCTCATCTCTTATATATTATGTTCACTTCTTTTGCTATTTTATTCGTATAGCTTCACAGTAATTTCGTTGTCCTTTTTGTTTATTATTTGAAGCATGCTATCCATTCATTCCCTTATACCTTTTACTTGATAGATAGTCCTCGTGCAACATAAACTAGATGATGCCACTATTTACTGTCTCTTGTATTTCCAAGATAAAAATCATTTGGAAGACTTAACAATTGCTCATTGCTCATTCCCCTAAATGAATTCTATTGGTCCTAAAATCTTCACCAGAAGATACAGAATGAAACACTTAATAAGGAAAATACTTTTCGGTTGTATGCTTAAACTCGATGCAAAACCCATTCTGGACATGTTCATACTAAAAGGGCCTTTTTATTTCACAAGTCACTGTCCATGCATTGACTGGGTGATCGTCTCCTGTTTTTTACTTGACCACTCACGTGAAGTTTTACCGTGTAATTACAAATTATAAAGAAAAGGAAAGTGGTTCTGAGCTGCTTTGCGTGAATTTAGACAGTTCGGTCCTATCTTTATATTGTGTACGTGTGGTAAAGCCATTTAGCTGTAAATGTATACAAGTTCATATACTCTCATGCGCATATTATGTTTATGCCAGGCTGTGAATCATACTCAGAAATATTTGATATCTCATGCCTAACATGGAAGAAGTGGAAAGTATTTGCTGCAACAATAAGATATTCTTAATCTTTTGAAATCTGATATTTGCTTTTGTTGATTAAAGCAGCAATTATTTTATTTTATTTTTATAATGTTGTTGCAACCCAAATGTCATAAAATGTGTTTCGAGTGTGTCAGGTACGTTCAAGTTAACACTTCAATTCACTGAAGATTACCCAAACAAGCCTCCAATAGTGCGATTTGTTTCACGGATGTTCCATCCCAATAGTAAGATCCATATACTGTAATTTTCTATCTTTAAAACTTAGTTTAAAGTATTAAAGTAAACCATAGCTTAATGTGACCTTTTACCTTCCAATTTCTGAAGAGTTGCACAGACAGAAAGATGTGTAGCTTAATGTGATCTTTGACTTGGAATTTTATCTTTGAGCAGTTTATGCAGACGGAAGTATATGTTTGGATATTCTTCAAAATCAGTGGAGTCCAATATATGATGTTGCGGCTATTCTTACTTCTATCCAGGTACGTAGTTATGGTTGACTTTTGCATGTGATGTTACTGCTTCAAGGGATTTGCACTGCCAAATAAGATGTTAATTTAGCTACCTTCCTTAGAGATGGCATTTTTTTATTGATTAGAACTGCAGATGGAGTGTGCATTATGGTGCTTTATTTTTTAACATTAAAGTACATATGATTTACTGATTCAAGAACATGTTATTGCTGAGGTGTTGCATTTTCCTTAATGTAAACAACAGGTGCTGGTTGCATTAAATTTATGTGTGGTAAACCTAGTGTATGCTTTAAAATAGATGCTCAAGTCCCATCTTCTTCACTAGTTAAAATAGATCTCTCTTCGTGGCATACTTATTCAGGGAAAAACTGAAGAGACTATTATCATTTCATACTTGACATGTCAGAATATTACAATATGTATTGAGAATCATTGGATTTGGTAGTAAGGATTATTATTCCACCACCTCTTTTTTATAAACATCCCAATTCGCATTGTCAGATAAATTCCCAAAACTATGTTTGACCAACAACTTTATTCTTGATAAAGGTATCAACCCGAGGTGAGGGTGCTGCTTGTTGTTTCCCTTTTACTTTGTAAAATATGACATGCCTTAAAAATCTTAAGAGGCATAAAATATTGTGGGTCTTAGTTACACATTGGCTTGAAATCTGCAATGGAGAGGCTCATCTAAAAATTTTCGTTTTAATTTTTACTTGGATCTGTTCGTTGTTAATTCAATCGTTTTAGTTGGAAAATTCAGTTTTTCATGCATGCATTTACTGTTGGTTGACCCATCAAGGATGCCAAACTTTATTTGTAGTAAAACTATTAATCTATATTCCTTCCATATTCTTCTGGAATTAGTAGACCTACTTGAATTGATGTGGCCTTTATAAGGTGTGAGTGATTTGAGTTTATTTGTTGTTCTGTGACGATAACAGGCGCTGTCCTCAATTCTTGTTTCTTTTTTCAAATGTTGAGGAACTTTGGGAATTGGTCCTGAACAGTCAAAGGCAGGAATTCTTGAATTTTATATACCTTCTCAAAATTCCAATACATCGATGATTTTTTTTCCCCAAATTCTGTGTTATTTTGTTTAATATGACTTGATGTCTGTGATTGAATTCTGCAATGCTTTGGAACTACTCTTGTGTTTCTAATTTTGCAATTTTTATTCAACTAATATTACAATATGATGGCAAATTTTTTCTGCTGTACTGTGGCAAATCTTATTACTACACCTGCCAAGTCTTGAGTATGGTTGGTTTCAATGTGCTTTCTCCATCTCAAGTTGAACACGCCAGTTTAGTCTTGCAAAACTATATTGGATAGAGCTGCCATTTTTGCCTCTTGATGTGTATAGAAAGTGAATGTGGATTTGTCTCCATGTACACAACGAGATAAGAGTGAGATGTGTTTGAAAAAATCAATTTAACTGAGTCCACGTAAGGGAGCTGTGCATCTTCAACCATCTTTTATTTGATCAAGAATTTTCTCTTGCACCTAGCCATGCATATGGAATAAGTTCCCTTGATACAACCAGGGTTATTTTCTTTCAAGTTATTTACATAAAAGTGCAGCTCACGAAACTGAATTACCGTTGTGTAAAGTGTATATTTGCACCCTAAAGTCTCAATGATAATAGAATGTAGACGTCGAAGGAAGAAATTCATCCACACCTTTACTGACTGATTAGCAGAAGATACGAAACATCTCCTTTTGTTTTCTTGCATAGAGGATCCATATTTGGATGCTGTATTGTTAAGGGAAAAACTAACCACTACTGGAAGATATAAACAGGAGGATTGTTGAGTATGATTCTAATATTCCTTTGTCAGGATAAACTTTTCATTACTTCTTTGCCAACTACGTATTACAATTCAATGTTGCTTCATTTCAACCGTTGTTGATCAGTTATTTCATATATTTGTAAAGATTTTCTCTTAATCTTAGAGCTCTTGCTTTCTGTGAAAGGTTGTCTTGCGTATCCTTGTGGCTCACTAAGATTTATTAATCGTTATATAACAACATTTTGGGGTTCTAACTAATTGCATTCTTTTCATTATTATTGCAGTCTCTGTTATGTGATCCGAACCCTAACTCCCCTGCAAATTCTGAAGCTGCCCGGATGTTCAGTGAGAACAAGCGAGAATATAACCGCAGGGTTAGGGAAATTGTGGAGCAGAGCTGGACGGCTGATTGACCCTTGATGCGCGGCGACTGTGATTGGATCCATGCAATAGTTTGAAAACCTACTTATAAGTAAAATGTACCACTTGAGCAAACTTTTCAATTGGGACACAGTTTTCAAGTCCGGTCATGTATAAGTCGTTGAGTTGTGTCTTGTCATGCATATTAGAATGTTATGTATTGATTTTCCTTGGAATTGGAATGGACTTGCTCTCGGAATCTATGTTACTTAGCAACGTGCTTTATTACTATCATTTCTCTATCTTTTGTGGCTCATAAATTGTGTAGCAATTAGTTAGATAATCAGTACTTGAAGAACTCGAGTGAAAAAAATCCATCATTTTTTTTTTTTTTGATAACCCAGGTGTCCCAGCTTAGCCGGACTAAATCCTGGACCTCTAGCCCCCGGCCCCTCAGTGACTAGTGGAAGTAAATCACAGGTTGTGCCCTTGTTGGTTCCCAGGTTCCCACATGGCTTTTACTCCTTCCCCAAAGGGACCCTCCTCCATGATTATTACATCACCAAGCTGCTCCAACTTTTCCTCTGGTTATTACATCACTTGGCTGCTCCAACCAGGAATCGAATTCCCCACACTTGGTTCCAGAGTCCCCCAATGTGATTGTTCCGCCAACTTGGATGTGCCCTGGAGGGCGAAAAAAATCCATCATTCTACTTATAGATATTGTTGTCAAGAAATATTTCATTTATTTGCAGTTGAGTCATTGTGAAACCATTATGAATGTCGAATCGGCCCTTGTGACACCCCTGCCCTACCAAATGTAGAGCCGAGCTAGAGTCGACCATTTTTCAAGATTGGGCCAAACTGGGCCAGTTCGTATTTTATTTTATTTTTAGGAAAAATCAGGTTTTTAAATCAGTAATAACAATGTATTATATACAAAAATAATGTATAATAAAGCCTCGTTTGGAAGTGATTTTGAGAATTGATTTTGTAATCATTAGGAGAAAGGTGAGGACCATCTGTGAGAGAAGAAGTCAAACTTTACGGTTGAAATAGTAAAATAACGATCAAAAAATTAATTTTTTTTTTTTTAGGTGAAAAATCACTCCTAAACAAGTTCCAAGTCATAGATAAAACTGAGAAACTTTTAAGAGCCATAGATAAACCCTACAAATCAAACCACATTGTTGACAAATCACTCTTCCGGTAAAAGTTGTACGAAAAGGGAAAAGAAAACAAGTAAAAGTAAATCCAGTTCCCAATGCAAGCATAGGCAGGTCGATTCAATGATGAATGCATCCATGAGCATCTTTCGTGCCAGTAGGTCAAGCGTTTGATGTCGTTGTCTTCTTAAAATCAATTTTGTCGACCTTAACCTCTCCATCAATGAGTTCGTAGACATATACAACAACACGCAGACCATCAATGTCCATGAGAACAAAGCTCGGGTTGACATCATAGGTGATGCTACTGTAGGAACCTGTTGCCGACCCTGGATTTATAACAACTCCGGCCTCATGTTTGTATGCAGTAAACTGATGGGTATGACCGGTCACAAGAATGTCTACGTCCAGCTGCCTCTGGAGCATGGCCAGTGAGTCCAGGTCCCCCCATGGAATAACCTTCAGAAAAGTAAATAAAGAATCAGTATTTTACTTTCTTGTGAGAACTGTTCCATTTTTTATGGTTTTCTTTCTCTCGATCATTCCAGAAATGTTTTGATCAAGAGTGTGGGACAACTAGTCTAAAGAATAGCAGTTAAGGAGGCGAATGGAAGCTTCTTGACTTTGTGTATGATTTGAGAAGAGGTACTACTATGTATTGTCACTTGTTCAAGCAATGATCAAGTAAGCAGTCCAACGTAGGCCACAGTTCAACTACGGCGTCAAAAAAGGCCAACAGTTCTTATCTGATGATCGAGAAAAACAAATAACAATCCTAAACTCCAAATAGGACAAAGTATCGCTAGAAATGAAATCACACCTGATGACCATGGCACACTCCAAGCTTAAACTGACCAATAGTAAGGGTCTTTGTTTCTGGATAACGTGTCTCCTCATCATATTCACCTCGAGCAATATGCAAGTCTGGGCAAACAGTCTTCAAGTAGTCATGAACCTCCTGCAAGTATAATCACATAGTTGAAGTCATTCCATACTTAACATGTTTGCCTTTTTCCTCATCAGTGAATCAGATGTACATACAGAATAATGTATCCCTTGAGATTTGGAATAATGAGAATCCTACTAAAGAGAGCTGTGATTGTAACTCATAATGCCAAAATTATTTGATCAAACATGTTGATTAGAGAAGACAGATGCACTGCAAATTTCTATACAAGGAACCCTCTGTTTCAAATTGATTAGTTGCTGCAACACTGTGCAGCAAGGAAGAGCTCCAATACGTTAAAGAATGAAAAATATATGTACACTTTAATTTGTTATTAACAAATTTTGGTGATCAACTCTACAAAGCAGAGGTAAATGTACAGCTAGCAAAGTTTGTTTGAGCCCCCACTGGTACCAAGCTGCATCCACCCTAGTTTAAATGTCAGAATTACTAGCCAATTTTCTTTTTTAATAAAATCCTTATTTTTTCCCCTTCACATCTCCATACTCTCTAAACAAAGATTTTAGGTTAGCAACGTCAAGGCTCATGCCTGAAAGAGTGGAGGTGAATTCACAACATGAACTCGTTAATCAATTGAAATTTAGAAGCTTCACCTCTCAAACAAATCAAAGGCGCGGGTGACAATATAACCAAAAAAATGGTTCATGTTGTTCCTGAGGATAAAACAAAAGCTCAATGATCCAATATTGGCAATCAAAACTTTCTACTTCATTCAAGGCATCAATATAGATATTTTTCACCAATTGTTCGGAGGATGCATGAATATGCAAATCATTTAACCTTCTTCCGTTTCCCAGAATAGTTTTCTACTAATTTTCTCAAATAGATTTCTCTAATTCTGGATTCCAATTGCAAGCTAGGGGTGCCAGGCAATAGACAAGAAATTCAAAAATCCAATTGGAAGCTTATTTACACAATAATAGTCACATAGACTAACAAAATTATAGACCAGTCAAAGTTTGAAAAGTGGACAGCAAAAGCAAGTAAAAATACACCAACTTTCAAGCGCAGAAATATTACCATGAAATGGAAAATAAGCTAGAATGAAGGTTGTAGGCTTGTAGCAGCTAAACATGTGCATGTAAAGACTTAAAACTAATACAATAAGCACATTATAGAACATCCAATCTAACATAGACAGATGAGACAGAAACCTATAATATATCTTTCCTGTTTAATAAGAAAACAAGAGCAAGCTATTAAAGTTCGAGCATGTATAGCAATTCATATTGAACTGTAAATTCCCAGTGCAGATTGTGCGAGAAGTAGCACAACTGTCCAATTAAAAGGATAGAAGAACCTCTCAACAATTAAGCTAATAAAATAAATGTGTTGATATTGTTTTTTCTCTTGTTCATTGATTAAAATCAGTAACCTTCAGTTAAATCAAGGTACTATTAATGCGGACTCTTAAAGTTCTGAAATTCAATTAGTCATAGCCGATACAAATGACTGGGTAAATATTGGATTGCATATTTATAGATCTTCTTGAATAAGATGATTTTACAAAAATTCTCATGAACAATATAATTCCTAAATTATATAATAGATAAAACGATACACTCACTTTGATACATAAGTTTCCAGTGCAGACTATGTGCTGGATCTTGCCTGGAACAAGCATGGACTTGAACTTTGGTGGCAGATCAGACGCCCTGTGGGGTATGTGCAAATCACCTAATGCCAGTACCAGCACCATTTCTAACTCTATGGGAAGCCACTATTCAGTCTTCGTATTTTAAATGTTAAGCAAGCCCAGAATCTGAAAAGCCCCAAAACCAAGCCACAAATTTATAATACAGCTAAAAGTCAATTTAATTATATATCAAGAGGTAATCCATGTTTTATGAATCAGCACTCCAATTTTACGGATTTTAAGAATAACACAGAACCTGAAACCCCCAAATGACGAAATTTATTATTGAAAACAAGCACATTAAAAAAGGCCAACTCTCCGATCCGATTCTGAACTTTAAATATGCATTTGATGCAACAAAAAAATAAATAATTTAAGCCGAGCCACCTGGGGTCTAGTTGGGGCAGTTTCCCCCTCTGGTCAATTTGATCCTGGGTATTTCATCAATTACACTTGAGCGGCGGCCAGGTTTTAAGGAAAGGAGACAACCGCATCAAAAATTCATGAGAAATGTTGTCAAAAAAATCACTGTTTCTATAGGTAGATTACCATCAAGAAACACCACTTTTGGAAAAATAATTAAATTATAAGGAGTTGAGTTGAAAGTAAATCATTCACAACAATCAGATTGAGTGCGATTGCATCATATAAAGCCCGTTTTAACACTAATAAAATCCGATACTACCTTCCAATTTTGGTGATGAAGAAGTTGAGCAGAAATCACTGCACCACAAGACAAATAGGTGCCCAGGTTGATGAATTTTTTTCTTCGCCTCTCCGCCAATTTTATTGAGTAATAATAAAATATATTCTTAAATCAGACAAGTTTAAGAATTTAATTAATTCAAAAATTTAGAATAATGTTTATAATTTTTTTTTATTGTTCCAAAATTGTGGTAATTAAACAATAATGTCGGGGTAATTTTTAGAAAGGCGGGAAAATTGTTCCTATTTTTCACAATGGCCTCTTTAATTAAAAATACTATTTTGCCCTTATTAAAGTTATTTGCAAGATGTATCTTATATCTTTAAGGATTTATCAATCAGGACATATATCTATATTTTTCAATCTTTCAAATACCTCTAAATATTCTTTATATCTTGATAGTTCTTCAAAGATTATAGGTTGACTTTTCTTGGTTATATATTCTCGAACTAATCCTTCTGAAATTTCTTCTTGTATATTTCTATATTTGATTATGATATCTTCTATCTTTCTTATCTCTCTACTAGTTCCTACAGAATTAAATCCTATATTATTTTTACAATTATAATCTATATCTCTATATATTTCTTCAATTTTTTCTTTACCAACAGAAAATATATCATCAGATTTTTCGTCTAATTTAAGTAAAAACGAAACATCTTTTTCATCTAAAAATAATATGAGATTATTATCATTAGTGGATGTGGATGCTTGTGAATTGTTTATCAGAATAATTAAAACATAAGCATGTAAAAATAAGTAAATAACTTACAGTAATCAAATGGAAATAAACATGTTTTCCCTCCAGTATGCTCTTATAGATGCTTTGCATGTATTTAATCAATTTTCTGAATCAAGTAAAGATTTAAAATATTTTTGAAATCATTGAGTCCACAACTGCTTCCGCAAAAGGCTTTTCAATTAAGGTTGCATTTCTCACTCTAGAGAACTAGCCGTGTTGCCACAGATGCTATCTCACAGTATCCAGAGTATCTGTTTTCACCTCTATCCAAACTCTTTTCAGAATCAAGTTCCTACTTGGAACGAAATTTTAAAAGATAACTCATACACAAGGTGCTACAATTTTGTTAGAAAACTGTCTTTTTCCCCTAAACCATTCATTAAAGACGGGTACTTTGGCATGACTAACATCCATTCAAAATCAAAGTTTTGAAAATCTTTTAAAATCTCTATCTGTACTGCCGAGGAATCATGAGAAATTTAACGAAATCCTTTTATGAAAGTTTTGTTGAACATGACAAACTTTACTTTGATATTCATAAACTGAAATTGTACATGCTTACAAACTATATTTACATACCTTTGGTACTCACCTTATGAAGTTTAGAACTCCATAAGTGATTACCTTATTACACGCTTTACTATCTTCAAGCTATCTAATATTTTTTTGAATACAAGTGGTGTATACAGATTACAAAAGATCTATCTAAGATGTGTTTCCTCTGAGTGTTTTAGAGATAAGCTATTTCGAGATATCTTCATTCTTCCTCCTTGCCTCCTTTTATAGAAGCTTTTGGGAACCTTATCTTAACAGGTGTTTTCCACCTTTCTTTGTCGAGTAGCTAGGTCATCTTATCTCCACCGAATTTTTTCATTATCTTCTTGCTAGTGGACCTCTCCTTTTGAAATTAGATGCCTTATCTTTTGAGTTTGTCTGCCACTTGTAGCAATTGGTGGGGGTAGTCACAATTATGGAGACTTTTCTTGCACTATCTTCTGTCTTTTAGTAGCCACAGTTTTTCTTTAATAAATTTCTTTATTAAAGTAGTAATAAAGGGCTACTTTTGTCACCATCACTTTTCCATTTTTGAATCAAAGAATTCTACAGGGAATTCTTCACTATTAAGAGATGTTTGGCTCATATCTTCAACTACACAGTATTCACAATGGTGATCACTGTAATTCCAAAGTAATTTGCATAATTCTTTAGCCATATCTTCTGATCCATGCACTTGGTTGGAAATAATTGCAGATAATAAATGGTCGAGATAACAAATATTTTCTTCCTTGATAGCCATCCTTGCATTGGAATAGATAATATGATTTTCAGATGGATAAACCCATATTTTTTCTTTCTCAGTGATTATCCGAGTTACATGTTCAAATATCTCTTTGTACCCTTTTGCTCTTCTGTATGGCATCATATTTAGAATATCTTGATATCCATTTTTAACAACCTTTTGATTGGTTGGTAAAAAATGTTGATTTGTAAGTCCCATTTTTATCACATGGAACGATGGATGCATATATTCAAGAACGGGATCACATTCCATGGTTGCTGAATGGAATCTGATATATATATATATTTGTTGTCTTGATGACTTCAGTATATCTTTTAACAGCTTTCCTAATGTTGGTTGGAAGTTGAGCTATCTCTTTGAGATCTTTGCTAGGATATATACAAAGTATATTTCCTATTTCAAAACAATTTCGAACCCAGTTGGCTGGTGCTCCTGGATAAAAATTTATCTTATTGTATTTTGAATAATGGAGAGTCTTCATCCATTTTTCAATCTCCAGATACCAATCTGATAAAATATTAAAAATAACAATAAAGAGTGTTACTTCTTCATGGTTATCTTTTCTGGGAATTTTTGCTTCATGGCATATCTTGACAATATCTTTTGAATCTATCTTTTCAATAGAAAGTTTAGATTGAGTTTGGCTCTGTGAAGAGCTACCTTCTCTTTTTATATCTTGAATATCTTTATTACCAGTAATAGGTTCAAGTTTTCCCTGTAAAGGGGTTCCTATTACCTTCTTTTCTTTCCCTTTATCCTCGGGAAAAACGCTAGTATTCACAAGTTCTTGGGAATGAATACTAGACTTGGTACAAGTAACTTCTGCTTCAAGGGCTATATTTTTGCCTCGAAAACTATCTTGGATATTTTGAATTTGTGTTTCCAAATAGGAAACTTTTATCTCAAGTATTTGAACTTTCGTCCTTAATTGTTCCAGCTCCATCCCTACTAAGATAATCAGGAAGAAAGTTAGTTTTACCTTTTATGTATTCAATATCAAATTTGAAATATGAGAACCAAATTTGTATCCTAATAATATATCTATTGGTAATAGTTGGATCAACATTATTTTTCAAAAATGCTTTAACTTGAGTATTGTCAGTTCTAATCAAGAACTTCTTTGGTAATAGATAATCCTCATATTTCTGAACTCCTCTTTTTACAGTAATGAGTTCCTTCCTGTTTGTTTCATATCTTGTTTCAAATCCTTTCTTTATGATTCTTTTTAACCTTTAACACTGCTCCCCGGTAATTATCTGAAGCATCAGTTTCAAGGATAAAGAAATCTTCTTCTTGTGGTATTATAAGTTTGGACAATACCCTTAACTCTTCTTTAACTTTCCTTATATTTTTACAATCTTGTTCTTCCCAAGACCACATAATATTTTTTCTCAACTTTGGAAGAAAATAATTTTTTAATTTGGCACAATTTTCAATGAATCTTTCAGCATAATTTAATATACCAAGGAAGCTTTGTAATTATTTTTTTTCTTTGATTTTTTCAGGAAATTCTTGAAATTTTTCTCCAATATGAGATTGCAATTGCAATTCTTCTTCGTTTATAAATAATCCTAAAAATTCTATCTCTGTTCTAGCTATTTCAGCTTTCTTTTGAGAAAGTGTAATACCATATTTTTTCATAATATAACAAAATTTCTTAAGATGTTCAATATGTTCATCAATAATATTCGAATGAATAAGTAAATCATCTACATATGCAATACAGAAATGAGTAATTGGTTTGATTACCTCATCCATTCTCCTTTGGAATATCTGTGGTGTATTTTTCAACTCAAATGGCATTACATTCCATTCGTATTGTCCTAAAGAATTGGAGGTACTAAATGCAGTTAGTGGTTTACTTTCTTCTGTAAGCATGATTTGCCAAAACCCTGATTTACAATCAAATTTTGAAAATATCTTTTTATTCTGTACTTGTTTAATAAGGGTGTCCTTATTTGACAAGTAGTATCCATCAAATTTAGTAACTTCATTTAATTTCTTGTAATTTATCACCATTCTGGCTTTTCCTCTTTTTATTTCACTATGTTTTCTAACCATAAAGGTTGGGCTGCTATGTGGACTTTTACTAGGCCTAATTAACTTGGCTTTTAGCAATTCTTTTCTCTGGTCTTTAAATTCTTTTTGGTCATTAACACTATATTTCATGGGTTTCACTCTAACAATAGTGTCTGGATTGGTTAATTCTATCTTTGCCTTTATTTTATCAGTATTCTATTTTTCTAACAGATTTTCAGAATATGTTTTAGAAATTTCTTTTTTCAATTTTTCTAATCTATTTTCTGTTGTCATTTTTAAGACTGTAACTGGTTTAAATTTTTCTGTACTCCAACATCCACCACTCTGGGTTGAGGAACTCTGATGGTTTATATCTGTATAGGCTATCGTAACAGCTTTATTTATTTTTGGTGTAAATATTTTATGTGCACAAGGTGTTGTAAAAATATACTTATCAATATATTGCGTAAATGATGCATATTTTAATAGGAAATTTTGTCCTAATAAAATATCACATCCGATTGTGGTTGACATGTATATTGTATCAACAAATACTTCTCTAAAGGAAATTAGAAAAGGTACTTGCGTAGCATATTTGCTATATATTACCTTATTTCCACCTGCTGTTGTAGCAGCGACAATCTTTTTTGAATTGTATTTTCAGTATTCAGATGGTAATACATTTGGTAAGCATAAGTTTATTGTACTTCCTGTATCTAAGTAAGTATGAAATTTAATTCTACAATAGCTTTTTATATTAAGTGTAATTTCAATATATGGACTCATGGGGTTAGTACTTATTACTCTTTCCATGATAACAATGATTTCATATTTTCATCTATTATTGATACGATGATTGGGTTATCATCAACTGTTATTTTTAAATATTCTTGGCAAATTTTTTAAGGACTATATTTCTCAAGAAAGTTAATTCCTAGTAGAATAGGTGATCTTTCTACTCCATATAATTCATCTTTATATAAAATTATTTCTTTAGTATATTCTTTCTCATCCTCTCCTATAAGTATAAGAGGTAACTTAACATATTTTCTTATTTCAAGATTATTTCCTAAATAATCCTTAAATATATATGGTTCTGTTATTTCAAAGTCTATTAAATGACTAACAAATTTAGCATTTACATGATTTTTATCTGCTCCAATATCTATGAGGACAAGAAAATTCTTCTTGTATCCTTCTTGATTTACATATCTTGTCTTAATGTAATATTGCGAACTTGATGGTTCAGTAATATTTAAATTCTTAAGTCTGCTTATTTTAGAGTCTTGTTTAAAGGAAAATCTTGCAATAAGATTATCTCCTTCTAAGTTAACACTATTTCTTCTTATTAGTTTTCCTTCAGAATTGATTTCTCTAGCTTGTTTGTGGAAATCAAGCATTATTTGTTCTGGTATAGTGATTTCATGTTCTTGGTATTTTCTAGGAGGTATATATTGTGTTAATTCTTCAAAATCTTTATGTATGATAATATTATCAGTTATCTTTCTTAAATTGTTATGATGGCTAGTACTAAAAGTAAAAATTGATTTTATGCTTATACTAATAGCCTTATTTCTTCGTAACATTTTCAAGTTTCCAATTCTATAGTATAGATTGAAACTTTGGTCAATATTTTCATTATTTAATGATATTGTATAATTTGGTTTTACTGTAAATATTATCTTTTGATAGAGTAAGTTTCCTACAATTGTTCCTAATAGAGTATCTATAGGATCTTGTAAGATTCTATTGTCCATACAGTAGATTTCTATTGGTATATTCATACATTCTCTAAAGAATCCTTTTACCATTATCTGGACTCCTCCTAATTCATTACATTTCAATTTATTTCTTACATTCTCTGGAATTTTGGATAATTTTTGTTTTACCCATTCTTTTGTAATTATAGTAATTCTTACTTTTCCTATAGTATCTTCTACATTGATAGACATTTCTTTATAATTCATACTTACAATTGTTTTATTTAATCTTGGTAAAATTCCTAAGAATCCTTGATGGAATACATTTTTTTCTTGTAGGTCTAGTATTTTCTTAGTGATTCCCGTGTATTTTTAATATCAAAGGTGATCTCTTGATTTATACCTTCTATAGAATCTTCAACTTCTTCAATTGTCTCTATTTTTATTTCTGGTTGTTGTATCTCCTGATTCATATATATTATCTCCTCATAATTTTCTTCTGATGAAGATGTATCTAATTCATAAATACTACTGCATTCACTACTTAGATCTTTAAAATATTCAATTGGTTCTATATCACCATCTTCTTGAAATTTTTCATAAGTTCTAAGAGTTATTATGTTTTGTCTATCTTTCTTTTTAGGACATTGAGGGGCAATGTGTCCTTCTTCATTGCAAATAAAATATCTACATTTCTTAATATTTCTTGGCTTAAATTTATTATTCCAATTTCTTTTCTTAAAATATTTTTTATGTGGTTTAAAATTCCTTTTCTTGAATCTTTTGTAGCTTTTGAATTTTCTTTTATATTTCTTATATGGTTTATACTTCTTTCTATGGCATCCAAATTGTTCAACTTGGCCATTATTTTTGTAACAACATAATGAATTCTTTTTTATTTTATATGCTTTTTTATTTTCTAAAGCTTCTCTACACCATATGCCTATCATTCTTTTTGTAAATTCAATTCTACTTTCAAAACTATCTATTTTTACTCCTTCCTCTTCTCCTAGAGGTATTAATTTTTCATATTCTTTTAATAACTTAATTCCCCATGAGAATGGTAACTTAGTAAAATAAGATCTTAATATAGGTTTATTTTCCTGATAATCTCTTTGATTTAATATATAGTATATTTTTTCGAATTTACATGTGTATCTTTCTAGCTCACACATATCACATATCTTTAAATTTTTCATTGCAATCATTCCTTAATTATATTCATCTTGTTTTCTTTCTTCATCATTAGATGTATATCTATCTCCTAAGAATTCCGTTCTTAAGTTTTTTTCAAATCTTTTTAATATTTTCTGAATATTTTGTTCATTTAAAGAATTTCTATTATATAATATTTCAGTCCTACTTGCTCCATACTTTACCTTTCCTTTAATAGTTTCTGGTAATTTTCTCCACCATTCAGAAACAATTCCTCTGAATGTATGTTCTATAAATCCAAAAGTTATATATGTTTCCCATTTATTAAATTGTATTGCTAAATCTGTACTTTTTATCCATGTTTCAATAGCTTTATTTTTATTTACACGGTCTAAATCTAACCATAACCCTGTTGTATGGATTGGTTCATTATAAGATTTCATTGGGTTTATTTCTTTTATAGACTGTTTTCTTACATTTCCAGTGTATCTTTTCTGTGTTTTTCTATATTGGTTAATATCATCCTTAAGTGGTATTCTAGTACCATAAGGATAATCATATTCTTCATCACTGCTAAATTCTACTTTTATATTCTGACTTGAAGATGGATTAGTATTCATCTTTGTGTTTTCTATTTTTTCAGTTAATTCTTCTAACTGTTTTTTATATATTTCATACTCTTCACCTGTAAATTCTAAGAATTTTTGTTCTATTTCTTCTACATTTGTAATCATATATTGTTTTTCTTCATATTTTTTCCCTTTATTATTTTCTTTTTGGGATATCCTAAAATCTTGAGGTGGGTTAATTATAATCCTATCTTTTCCTTTAAAACTTTTTATCTAAAAGAGCGTTTTCTATTTGTAGATTATGTTCTAGATTTTCTAATCTTTTATGTATATCCCCAAAATTTTCATTTGTGGTGTTTTTAGGTAAATAGAGATAACTAAGTTTTTTATGTTTTTCAACTTTTTTATAAAATTCTTCAATTATATTTTCTTCATCTACTATATTCATCATTATTTTTGGTTCGTAACATGGCTCTAATACCATCTATACCAGAGTGCGTAGATCACACTCACTACCGTCCGGGTTTACGGAAGCGGCCCTGTCTTGACAGTAGTATAGTGATACCTATCTGAGTCCTTGAGTTGCCATGGGTCCGCCAGGCATATCTCAAACCAGGGGCGGAGAGTCAGTAATTACTACTTTTCCCTATAGAGTTCCACCCGGATATATAATCATGCATGCTCAGATACCATCTCGTCGGAGTGCGCAGCGGAGGGGTTAATATTTTTAAACCAATTAAAATCTTCATAAGTATTTAAAATATCACAATAAAATTTATAAAATTCACTATTTTCTATTAATACTTTTTCTTCAATGATTATATTCAGTTCTTTGATTCTTCTTCTCAAGTTAAGAATTAGTTTATATATATCATTTTCTGTTTTGATTGTACTATTATCTATAGAAACATTTTTATTTTTTAATTTTGAATCTAAATATTCTGTAAAGAATCCTTTCAGATCTTCTTCTAAATAGTTTAATTCACTTTCAGTTGCGTTTTTTAGATCAATAAAATTTTGTATAATATTTGAGTTTAAATTTATAAAAAAAAATTTATCTATATTTTTTTGAGGACCTAATTGAATGTTTTTATACATTATAGTGGCTTTGGTTGCAATTTCACAATAAGGGGTATTTTTGGAAAGATAACTGTTTAAAGGCTATTCTTCAAATGTTTATATTTTTTGGTCTAATCTTACAAAACTACCTTCTATTTAGGCTATCTAGAGGTATTTCCTCCAATAATGTCTCTCTCTCTCTCTCTCTCTTCATTTTTTTTTAATGATATATTGAGAAATGAATCGTTCACTAAAATTGTACTACGAAAAAAAATACCATTATATTTTCAATTTATACAATTAGACGGCCATAAATTCATGATCGCATCTCTACAATATAGAGTATGCTACTCATGCAAACCATAATTGTATATTGCTAAACATTCTATTAAATATCAGAAAAAAGTCAAATTGATAACCACTTATGTCTACATAAATAATCATCAAATGAAGTTGTAGAAATTCTACGAGATAGCAAACTGTTTATCACATCTCATTTTAATTATACAATATGATTGGCCGTAGTTATACGGTGTATAATGAGTCAAAGTCACGATTGCTTTTGTTAAACAGTACATCGAAGATCGTAATAATAACATACAATCACATGATAAAATGAATCACGTGTCCCACAACAAAAGTCACAAGGTAGCTTCAACGTTTCTTCTAGCTATTGCAATGTTTACCTATAATTTGTTGAGATTATAACATATAAATCCCTGCATTTTTCACAAAGTGGTAATGTTTATTTTTAGAGAATCTCACAACCGTGCTGATTATTTTTGTGGTCACTCAATTCAATTTGGAAATAAAGTTATCTTAATGCATTTAAAATGACTGCCATCCCTCCACCACCTCGTCCTGAGCTACCTACCCCACGGCGGCCTGCATAAGAAGCAGTATCTACATAGCTATATTGCAGTATTAACTTATCTTTCCTCCACATAGAACAGAATGCAAATAAACTAACGAAGAAATACACATACGGAATAAGGCTCATTGAAAACTTGTTCGATTCCTATTAACACTGACAACGAACTACTCAGCCGAGAAAGAGAGCGAATTTACACAGCTACCAGCAGCAATACCACATTACATAATTTTGAACATCTCTCAGCCAGAAAAACTACATCAAAATCTTGTGCAGATTTTCATCTCTCACAATATGAGGTGTGTAAAATTACGATGATCAGTTGACGTGTTTTCCAAAGAGAGGTATAAGCTGTTTCTCCAAACCTACCAAGCTGAAAGCAACTTATCAGAGTAAGCATTGAAATTGCAGCATAGGCAATCACTTTTCAGACGAAGGCAAAAGAATGATAAAATAATGTACATACATCTCATATTTCAGCAAAGCTTCACTTTGTTTTGCTTTGTAGAGCTCACTCTCTCTAGGTATGCTGCTCAAACTAGGGCCTGTAGATTTGACAGAGAATTATAATAATTCATGTCAATCACGAAGATGATAATACTAAGCAATCAAAAGTAAAAGAAAGAAATGAAATGAGGAATCTCATAGCAACAAAATTGGCAGCATTAATGATAATCATTTATTATAAACTCAATGAGATGTAGATTTCAAGGGTACCTTCATATCTGATACCCAGAGGACAGCCATAGATTCACTTTCAATGTTTTACCCGAGTGTTAGGGTTAACAACATAAAATCAGAATTATGAAAAACATATAGAGGCGGACCGTAAAATTATAATAAACAACTCTTCTGCAAGACCCACCAAGCAGTTTTGCAACGGTCTCCTGCAAAGTTTGACACAAGAACTCAACATTCGGAGATCATTCCCCTCTTGTTTATTGCAACAGCATATTGTTGAGGGAATTCCTTTTGTAATATCACATCATCATCCAAACATCAGGTCAAAATATTCGAGTGGTGCCATTACCCACTGCAAAACCCAAAATCAACTAACATATTCATGATGCGCCTCCAAAGTTCCACTATGTAAAGAAGTTTGCTCTCTCTGTCATGCCTTTATCCCTCAATACGGCCACGCTTTTCAGCAGTTATAGTTTTAATAAAGCTGTTGGGGACTTACGCCATGAGCCCCATAAGACTAAAGTGAGCCTTTCATTAAATGCCATGAAGGTTACGTCTTGGCGCATCTGTCAAGACAATTTAGTGAGGCTTACGCCTCAAGACCAAGCCTAAGGGTGGCTGAGATGTGCTATTTGTCTTACCCTTTTTGATATTATATTACTAGCTTTAGCTTTTAGGGCTATTTGTTTATAAAGTTACGCTAGAAGTACAATTTCTTGTACAATTTGAGTGACAAGGTGGCCAAGTGACAACTCCTCTGTCAACCAAATTGTACAAAAAATTACACAAATAGAATAATTCTTGTTTATATAACCTAAAAAGTTTCATGGTCTTTTTGTTTTCTTTCTTCTACCTTTACATGCAAGGGAAAGAAAAGGCACCATTACAAGTGGAGGATGATGATGTACAACGAGAGTAAGATAAGGGAATCAAATATGTTGATGATTCTTTTAAAGATTTAAACAATGATGATATTGGAGACTTCTAGGTCGTTTCTACCTCTAGTAGAATTAAAAAAATTTATGTGATTACTAATTTTGAATTTATTATTGCTACATTACAGATCTATTTATGTTTGTTTGCAAGTTAAGCTTTAAATTTTGTAAATTTGTTATCTTAGGTATTTTTAAGATGGTTTATGGTTTATTAGGAACATATTTATGTACTTTTATATTGTTTTAAAATATTCATTATTTAGTCTTGAGGCTTTTGCCTCAAAATAGTGGTGTCAAACTGCTTGACATGATCTGCTTGGAACTGGCTGGTAAAAATGTATATGAAATTCGGTCTATGGTTAACATGATCGGTCCCGACAGTTAACCACCGAGCCAATTAATATTTAAAAAAATGAAATAATTATTAATATTTAAAAAAAAAATTGAATTTTGCATTAAAGAAGGCAGATTTTGAAATCAGATTTCGAATTAATCTGCCTTCTTAAAGAACCGTTATTAAGGCAATCAAATGAAAGCCTCAAATTAAGGCTGTTAAATATTTGGCCACTTCTTTTTCAGGTCCGCTCCACCTGAATTTTTTGGGTCAACGGGGCAGTCCACAGACTTGTATATTTCTTTTACTGGCCAGTTCAATAACTGCTCTGGACTGTACTGGGCGCTAGCATGGGCGTGCCAGTTCGAACCAGCCCGTCCATTTTAACACCTCTACCTGAAAACAGTTTCAAGGTTTACGACTTGTCTTATAGACATAAAACGACAAATTACGCTGATTGAGCTTCTATGAGCAACGTTAGCAGTAATTCTCCTCCATGCTGAGAGACTCTTGATAAGCTTCCTAAGTGATTCCCACCTCACAAGATGATACCACTAGTAGCACAAGCTATTTGTATTTCTTATCATTAATTAATATTTACTAACCATTTTAATTTTTAATTTTTTTTTCATAGCCAGGCAATTTGACCATAAATCAGCGTCATCAAGTTAATGACAGGTGATCGTCTATGGTAAGAAGGTGCAGATGCAACTGACTGCATTTAATGAATTTAGATTACTAATTGAATTTTGCATTTGAAACATGCAGTCACTCAAAGCTTGTTAATGCATTTGTGGTATGGTAATAAGCCAATAAATAGTTAATCTGAAAGAGAATTGTCCAGATCCCTGGCCTAATGATCAGCTCCCATGAATATGACATGTGGCAAATAGAAACATCACAACTAAGTAGTATTTGACGTAGTCATAAAGCAAATAGAATTGCCTACCATTACAATGAAGTGATCCCTTCCTCTGATCAATCTTTCTGACTATCAATCCCTGTCATATTGAAAATGCATTATAAGTAAACTACGTTCATACTTAAAACTATCATCATTGCTAGAAAACTTCAGATGAAATATAATGTTACAGCCAAAACAAAATGTCACCATCAATTTTCAAAGGCCGAAACCGAATAAATGGGAGACATCTTAAAAATATCTGAGTAAAAAACCAGGTAATTCTTTGGATTAAAGCACATAGTGAATTTATAATGTACAATCAACTTAATCTTTGAAACATGGGATGGTAAAGCAATATTAATGTTCTACATCACTACATGTCTTAATCCATTAATTCTCACAAGAGATTCAGCGCATCTAACAATAAAATTGGAATAATGATGTGAAAACAACAATATATTACCGGAACAACATTCTTCTATTTCCAACTATAAATCAGTGTCCCAAGAACAAATATTGCTGTATAACCTAATGAATCTTCGATAGGTCTTCCCCAACACAAAAATGAAGAGAATAAAAGACAGAAAGCAATCCTGAAAAGCCAACCACTGGGTTAGATTTTCTGCTTTTGCTGACCCTGTGTGAATCTATTAGTGGCATCTTGGTCAAGACTGCTAAACTGTTATCAAACGAGTTCCAACCACAAACACATTCAGCGCAAAATCTTCAGACCCTAAAAACATTCCAGATGTGCATAAGTTTCATAATGGAATTCAGACTTTTAGCTTTTCTCTTTCTTGAAGGAACACAACAACCAAAAAAGTTTAACATAAAATTTGAGAAAAAAAAAAGGAAAATCTTAAATTGTCCCATTTCATGAATATAAAAAGGTTAGTTACATCTGCATTAGGTATCCAAGCTGTAAAAATTCTTGGCGTCATCAGCATATCAGCATAAAGCTTCAAATTCTAAAAACAACAACAAGGGTGCAATTTACAAACTCGACAATCAAAACAAGCTTTTATGCAAAAGACAATGTTTAGCAAGTGAAACTCTAGTAATTCACATGGATGTGAGTAATATCTAGAAATAGGTTACATTTATAGCAGAAACAAAATGTTAACATTATTCTTGAGAATAATATAAAGTGCAAGTGAAAGTCCACCATGCTAGAAAGACTTCTTCAACTTTTGACTGAAGATACTATCTTTATTTTAGATTTAAACTGCTGGAAAATCGTGGCGAAAAAAGAAAAAAAATTGCCCGTCCCTTTTGTTTCCTTAATTGGGTTGCATATCATTAAAGGAACACAAAAGTGCTTTATGGTGCACAGCAACATCCAATGAGTAAGGAATACCCAATCCAAGGAATTTTTTCTTAATCTTTTTTTCTGAAGTACAACAATTTTGGACCAGCTACAACATTGATTAATCCCCAGGACAAAAGAATGAGCACCAAATCAGAGTCAATATAAGCAGAGCCCCAAGATAAATACATTACAAGAGGCTCCAACAAGCTAGCAAGAACTCATCATGTAATTCAATCTTGTAGAATAGAGCAAGATTTTAAGAAGCTAAGTCAACATCAGTTGTTTGGACCAATTAACCATATCGGGTGGTTGCTAATATTTGAAGAGTACAGAGTCTCCCTCAATCATCGAAGTACTCCCAAGATTCACAAATTATTACACCCATTCAGATTAAAATATTCAAAACTGTTGCACAAAACAGATGGTGTGGCAGCAAATGACATATTTCTGATCATCATATTCAGGGGACTTCAACTCATTTATAAGCCTATCTGAGTAGGAGCAGTTAATTTATTTATTACAGGCAGTTAATGTGGTGCACAATTTCAAAGAAATTTACTCATATAGGAAACACGAATACACTGCATCTAGCACTTTACCTTTCTTTATCCTCTTGCACTTGAAACACTAATCAGGAAGAAAAAGGTATCGCCACTTCAAGTTATCAAAAATCAGAAATACTTCAAACATTTGTTGTGCCATTAATCAAATAGAACTAGATGGAAACAGCAGGAACAGAAACAGACTGGTCAAAAAATACCCATCATCTAAATGATCTTCCTTGATTAAAAAAAGAAATAGGTGTTATCAGCTAAGCACATCATAAATAGAAAACTATATGGGAACTACACGAACCAATGAGCTCGAAATTTAAAGTTTTAAACTGTAAACCGAGTCTATGTAGAGAAGTAAACCTATGAAGGAATAAATGCCTCAAGAAATGTCTAGAAATTGAGAAATGCTATGATTTCTAAATATAATATTTTCCAGTAGCCATTTCAACTATTCCATAAAATAACTCAACTCGGCCCTTCCGACCCATATTCAAAATTATCCAGACATTTAACCAGTATCAAATAAATAAAACGACCACTCACTCTAATTCTTCTTCTTCTTCTTCTTCTTTTTTTAATCTAATAAAATATATACAAATAAACATCACAACTACAATAACAACAAAAATACCAACTTTACCTTTCGCTTCAAGATTTTGGCATGGCATATCTTGATATAATGAAGCAAATGGTGGCGGGCATGCTTAGAATGCAGTTTGTCACTGATTTCTGGGTTGGCACTCAGCCAATCTAACACATCATTGGACTTAATTACCTCAATTGTGTCAAGTGATTCCAGCCAAGAATAAACAGGCTTCCATTGTTCAGTGCGCTGGAATCTATGATCATGCTCTTTTTCCATCTATTAAAGACATAATGAAAGATTACTAATAAATAATACAATATACATTTAGAAACGGAAACGGAAATGGAAATGGAAGTGAAATTGAAGGTTTAATTCTAAATGGGAATAACCGAGGATTGCTGATCTTTGTTTGGCATATTCTTGTAAGTGGGCTGCACAGCGAGCAAAGAAGCAATTGAAAATTTCGTTTCACTGTTTTGCTTCTACATGTTGAAGGAAGAGGCAAAAGGAAGTGATATAACCTATGCAAGATTACATTATTCTTTTCTTTTCTTTTATTTTTCTTTTTTAAATAAAAAGAGCATTATTCTATTTTATTAACGAAAAATTATGGTTGGATTTTTTGGGAGATTTTTCTATTTGACCTATCACTGTTACTTTTTATGGAAATGTCTATATTATCCTTAATGAAATAATTCTTTCTATATTGTAACATATATCATGATCTTTTAATCATTTTATCTTCTATTTACTCAATTTTGAATATTTGAATATAAAATCATTCTATGATCTAATAAATAGGAATAATCTCCAACATACATATCATATTTTCTAAGTAAAATAACATATTCTTCAAATGGTAGATTTATATTTTCTAATTGAGATTTAATATTCTTTATTTCTTCTAACATTCTTTTTAATAAATTATCTAATCTTTCAATTGTATATCCTGGCATTTATCAAAATAATCATCATGCAATTGTCCCCGTGATTCTTTTAAGATCTTAAAAAGATTCATTCTAATTTTAGTAAAAGTTTAATAGTTTTACCTTGGATTTGATCTAGACCTGTATTCTTAGAGTCGAGTAACATTTGAGTTCTGAATTTGTAAACTACTTCCTTCAATGGCCTCCCGCCTTCAGGGAATTGTTACTATTTCAGTTATTTGCTCTCACTGTATCAGTTTCTAAAGAATAAAATTCTAGACTTCTGTTATGGAAAACTCTCTTTTCTGCTAAAATAAGAAGAAAACTTTCTATTAGATCCTTCAGGAATTTATGGAAAAAAGATTTAGAAATTCATATTGATATCAAAATATTTGAATTTTAGTTCTATCAGGATTGATATAAGACTTCTATTTGGTACAAAGAAATTTCCAGAAAAACTGGTTTTTCAAACTAAGAATGGGTTATTGCTTACAACTTGAGAATTTAAGATGGGATGAGATGATTTTCTTCTATGTTAATGTCTCTATTTATACAAGTTTTTGAAACTCTATTACATCAGTAAAGGCACTCTTGCCTCTCTATTTTCTTCCTTGGGCCTACATCTTTACATGTTGGTTCAACTTTTCTATCCAAAGAGTATCTTTTTTCTAGTATTGCTCTTTATCTTCAATGTCTTCACATGTAGTATTATTGTCCTTCATACACCTTTGTCAAAAAATGTTTTGTCTTCTTCTTTCATTTCTTCACATTCAGCTACGTCACTCTCTTAGCTGGTAGGATTCTTTTATAGTGGTAGGACATCCTGAAAATTGATGTATATCAAATCTTGTAATATAGTCTTTTAAAATTTATGACTTTGTATATCCTCCATTGCATACCAACATACAATTTTCATATTGGCACAAGCACGAGAATTTTTTATCAAACAAATTTTTGATAATGTTGTAGATGGCTTTAATTCCAAGTGCTCTTCTATGTCTGATCCATAATTTTGTCACTGTTGGGACATTTCTATTATTCTCTGTAACATCAATTTGGAAATTGGCTTCAATATATCCAATTGAGATTATGTGTTCAACTAAATAGTAAACAACTCCATCATATTCTAGACTGATTGAATAAAATTTAAAAAAAAAAATTCCTTCCCTTGGCAAATCTAGATACTTTCTTAATGAATATGTCATCAAACTTTGAAATTTCAATAAAATCTTTTCCTGGATAAATAAAATCCATGAATCCGTAGTCTGTCTTGATTTTTATAAACGAAGGGTCACCTCCTTTCATGACTGTTATTTTGGGGTAAATATTATTTTTCGGAGAAATGAAATATGAATTACTTATTTTTATTTCATAAGCGATTTTGATTATTTCGAAATATTTGTCTTTGTTTGGATCTAAAGAGATTTTATCTTTTTAGTCTATGATTCTGATTGTTTTGGTATCTCATTTATCTCCATGTATCATAATTTTCTTGGTTGATGATACAGAAATGGAATCTCCTTTATTATCAGTTGGTATGTTGTCATGTCTGGGTCCACTGCTGCTTCCAACTGTCCCTATTTGGTATTGATTTGGAAAACTCATTTCTGAACTCTTTGGTATGTCTGTTTCAAACAGTATAGTTTTTAGTTGTGCTGCAATAGCATCAATTTGATTTTTGAGTTCTATGACATATTTATGATGCTCAATAGTGATATTCAACAATATTTTCATATTTAAGTTAAATATCTCTGAGATCTGGGTTGCTCCAGAACTTATATCTTCAGATTCTTCTTTAAGAAAATTTGTCATTTCTTGTATATGTAGAATAGATTAGTATAACTCCATGGTCTTGACTTTACCCATCAGCAAATTCTATATTTCTGCTGAGAAAATCTAAAAGAAAATTATTAACTCCTTTAATATGAACTATATCAAAATTATAAAATGTTAAATAAGCTTGCCATCTATGAAGCCTTCTGTATTGTGGTTCTGAGGGTAATTTATTTCTGACTAATCCTACAACTTGAGAATTATCAGTTTCAATAATAAATTTCTTGGATAATAAAAACAATGAGAACTTTTTTATTCCTCTAATAATTGCTAGTAATTCTTTTTCATTTATAGTATAATTTATTTCTGCTTGGTTAAAGGTTCCACTTGAGTATCTACAAATTTCATTAAGATCTGTTTTTAATATTGTTGCCCAATATTTATTTGAGATATCAGTATTAACAATCAAATTATCTTTTTCATCTGGTAATCTTAATTTTGATAAATTTTACATTCTTCTCTTAATGATTTAACTATTTTCGTATGTTCTTCATTTCATCCTTTCGTATTTTTTTTCTAATAAAACTTGAATTTTATGTTTTTTCTTAGAAATATTTTCAATAACTCCTTCTCCATAATTTAAACATCCTAAAAAATTTTGAATTTGTTCCTTGGATTCTAATTTATTTGAAAAACTTTCTATCTTTTTTGATATATGAGTCTGTAATTTTATCCATCTTTTATCTATTGATAATCAAAAAAAGTCTATCTCTTACTTTTCTATTATAAATTTCTTTTTAGATAGTAGAATTCCTTCTTTTTTTTACATTCATTAATAAATTTGATTAAAAGATTTCTATACTCTTCTTTACTATTAGAACATATTAATATATCATCAATATAAACGATTATGAATTCATTAAATTTTTTAAATATATTATCCATCTTTCTTTTATATATTTGTAGTGCATTTTTCATACCAAATGACATAACTAACCATTCATATTTTCCTTGAGGTGTGCTAAATGCAGTATATTGTATACTATCTTCTTCCATTTTTATTTGCCAAAATCCTGATTTACAATCAAATTTAGAATAATATTGTTTTCCTCTTGAAAGATTTATTAGTATTTCTTTATTTGGTAGAAAGTAACCATCAAATTTAGTATATTTGTTTAATTCTTTATCATTTATAACCATTCTATCTTTTCCTCTAACTTGTTCAGAGTGTTTCATAACAATAAAGGCTGGACTACTATGAGATTCATTATTAGGTCTAATAAGTTTTTGTTATAACAATTCTTTTATCTGGTTTTTAAATTCTTGTGTATCTTATATTGTATACATCATTGGTCTTACTCTTTTTATAACATTTTCTGTTAATTCTATTTTGGTTTTTGGGTAATGTGGTTTCCAAAATAATAATGGATTTTCTCCATAAACATTTTCTAATTGTTCAATGATTTTTTCTATATTCATTTATATTCCTATTTTTAAAACATTTTTATATAATATTCTTTTATTTTTTATTTCATTATTAAGAATTGATTTTTTCTCTCATTTATCATCATGCTGAGCAGGTTGAACTTTATAAGGTTTAAATTCTCTAAGAATTTTTAATAGGTGTCCACAAGGTATTTGTAGCATTATCATATAATTATTTTATTTATAATATTGAAATTGTTATATAAAATCATTTCTTAATAATATATCACATTCTAATTTATCATATTTATAAAATTTATTTATTGTTACTTGTTTACTTCCAAGAATTATATTAACTTTATCAGCACTATTTATTATTTGAGTACTTTCTCCTGTAACTCCAATTATTTTTATATTACTATTTTTATTTCATGATTTAATTAAAAAAATTTTAAATATTGTTTTATCACTTCCTGTATCTATTAAAATACAAGTTGTTATATTAATTTCTACAATAGTAATTTATATATACACAGTTAATGGAAAACTTATTTGATTATTCATTTAATTCTTTTTGCATAATGTAGTTTGTCCATTATGAATAATATGTAATCCTTCTCTTTTTATACTATAATCTTCTAATCCATTTAGAAAACTCATTCCTTAAAATATATGAGAGTTTATATCCATACTTCTATCTATGTAATATGGTACTGAAAGATCTATTCCTCCTATTTTTATTGGTACCTTAACTTCTAAATCTGTTATATGTACTTGTTCATCAAAATTTACATACTTATATGGTTCAATTTTATGAGTTATTAATCCTTTATTTTTAATTGAAGTTATATGACATTCACTAACTCCTGTATCTATTAATATATTCGGTCCATTTATATTTTCTCTTCCATTATAATATTCTCATTCTATTTTCATGTTTCCAGCATTCTTATACAGTTTCACTTCTTTAATTTTGTTGATTTCTTCTAACTGGTTTTTATTAGGTATTTTAAAACTTTTTGATCTTTTAATTAATTTTCCATCCGTAAATGTTATGTTATTAGAACATTCTCCTTCATTTAATTATGTTATTTTAGATTTATTTTTTGCTATACTAAATTTACATTATTTTGGAATTAAACTTATTCGTTTATTTGGTTCTATTATTTTACTAATATCTTTACATTTTTTATGAATTTCAATATATGGTTTATTAGAATAAATATTTTCATAATTAAATTGATAAATATGTATAAAGCTTATTCTAAAGCCATAATTTGATCACCTGATTGCATGATATCATCCATATAAAGCTTGAAATGTAGTCCTAAAACATCATTAAAATTTATATCTTTTAATGATACACAATATTTTAGATAACATGTAAACATAATTTTTTGATATGCTAAATT